TGTGTGTGTGTATATATATATATGTGTGTGTGTGTGTGTATATATATATGTGTATATATATATATATATATATATATATATATATATATATATATATATATATATATATATATATATATATATATATATAATTGGGTTGGCATTTGGCAATGTTTATCTTACTACTTCTGTATACATATATATATATATATATATATATATATATATATATATATATATATATATATATATATATATACTTGTGGCTATTAGATGTACTTTTTCTACTTTTATGTTGTGTTTTTTTTTAACCTAAAACAGCAATTTTATGTATTTTGAGTGCGTCTATTAACGCTTCCATTATAATATAAATATATATATATATAAACTGTGGTAGTGGTGTAGTGGTAAGAGTGATTGCTTTGTAAGCGAGAGGTTTGGAGTTCGACTCCCACCATGTCCCTGGAAGTACCGCGCTCAACTTAATTTCTCTGCGCAGCGGCTTTGCTTGTTAAGGTTCGTGTTTTGGAGTTAAAGAGTTGAGAAAGGGTTGTACCACGATTTACAACAAAAAATAAAAAAATGAGCATTCTCCTCGCAAAATCTTTATTTATTTTTACTAACCTGTCTTAACAAGAGATCCTCTTATTCTTTCCATTCCTGATTTTTTAATGCCAAATATTGATAAGATAGCATTGATACAAACTGGAACTCTTACGATGTTATTATCTCGTGCCACTTTGATATAATAAGTGAATGATCACGATGAAACCTTTTTTCTTCTTTTTTCCGAGGTCTTCGTTTAATACTTAAAACCTCAATCATTGAAGCAAGAAATTTGTCTTGTTGATCTTTATTTTGTATTTTATTAAAGTACAACAGTAAAAACTCCCTTTCTTCCACTGTCGTTTCTTCAAAACACTTATACTATTTGCAATGACACGGAAAACCAATAACATGTGATGATATTTGTTCATTTCTATTTCTATCCCACTTTCGACCATGTTTTTTTTTCTTTTTTTTTTTGGAATTTCTGATATATCAAGATACTGACATTTGTCCGCCATTTCAGCAAATATAAGAGTATCATGTTTTTGGCAAAAACAAATCCGATTGGCTAAAATGTAATATTTGGAAGCAACATTCCTATTCTGCGCAAAGGGTTTTAGACATCTCCGGTTTACCCCTTGAACAATTTGGACATCTCTGGTTTACCCCTTGCGACCCCTTTTTTTGCATGTAAATTTAGGTGTGGTTTAACTTTTATTTTTTCATACCCATTTGTGTAAGGATGCAGAAACTTATCTTTAACATATTTGGGATAATAACTCAAAAAATGTTAAAATGTGACATCACTGGGTATCCCCTTGCACCCATCATATACATATATATATATATATATATATATATATATATATATATATATATATATATATATATATATATATATATATATATATATATATATATATATATATATATATATATATATATATATATATACATATATATAATATGCATATATAATACATACATACACTATATATATTTATATACATACATAATATGTATGTATATATATATGTATATATATATATATATATATATATATATATATATATATATATATATATATATATATATATATAATATATATATATATATATAAAAGCCTTGGTAGAAAGCCGTTGCCCACACTCCCTTAATGTGATTTAAGGGAGCCATTTATGGTTCTTGCAAAAATATATATTTTTTATAAACATAAACCACTTTCTTTTTCTCTATTAATAAAATTAAAAATTTTTGCGCTAACTACATACATACATTGTAAACTGCTTTTTTTTTAATATTTAGCTTAAACTCATGTAAAATAAAAATAAAAACTTAAAAAAAAATTACAAAATAATATAAAATTATGCTTATAGTTATAGTTTTGAACTTTTGATTAAAAATTTTGCACACTTATTATAACTTTTAAATAGATTATATAAATTTATCTCAATTTGAGCAAAATAAAAAAAATAATGCAAACTAAATCCTCTGCTAAAAAAGTTGTAATTATATAAACATTTTTATTGTGGAATCTTTATGTTGTTGTAAATTATTCTTTAAGTTGTTGTGATAATTCTTTATGTTGTTGTAATAATTCTTTTTGTTGTAATAATTCTTTATGTTGTTTTTTATGTTTCTTTAACTTTCTGCATTCTATTACGGTAAGAAAACTTATTTAGCTTTTATTTATTAGTTTTTCCATTAAATGAATAAAAATCTCAATGAATAAACGGATAGCTAGAATGAAAATCCAAAGAAAACACTCATATAAAAACAATTTTCATGGCTCGATAAACAAAGCTTGTTTTGTATAAATTCTTGTACCATTAATGTTACAAAATATATGATTGTAATAAGTAAAAAAAGCAATTTTTTAAAATGAATAATCAGATAGCTTATGCAAAAAACTGAAATATTTTATAAAAGCTGTTTAAAAGAATATATATATGATAAATATATACATGATGTGGTAGTGGTGTAGTGGTAGAGTGCTCGCTTTACCACTCGCGTGAGGTTCCGAGTTCCATCCCCACCACATTGCTTCTTATTGCTGCGCTAAACTTATTTCTCCGTGCAGCAGCCTTGTTTATTAAGGTTTGTGTTTAGGAGTTTTAGGGCTGTTAGAGGGTTATAACCACAATTAAGTTGCCTCTTCATCTGTAGTGGTCTTTTGGGCCACTGGGGAGGTGAATTAATAATAGTAATTTAATAATTATATATATATATATATATATATATATATATATATATATATATATATATATATATATATATATATATATATATATATATATATATTGTTTATATATATTGTTTATATAATATTATATGTTTATAATAATAGTAATAAATTTTAAACAATTTTTAGATGGGAGTTATTATCAAAACATTTATATGCATGTTGTCAACCAAAGCAGTGGTCAAGACAATAATTCTATGGTGGCAGTAGCTGATGGAAGTAAATTTTATTTTTATCTTTTTTTTTTTTTTACTTTCTCACTGTTACTCTAATAGTTCTTTATATTCAATCTAATTCATCTATTAGACTGGCGCAGATGTATTTTTAATACATTGTTTCCAGTTTAGGATGTTGAACGCTGGATCTTCTTGACTCGATTCATGGGTTTTGCTTGTGTCTCTGTTTTTATGACTAGGCAACTCATTCTATTAACTCCAAATGAGGGTACAGCTCTAAAACTCAGTTTAATGGCTCTGAGGCCGGCTGGTAGTCAGGTTTCCTGAACTCTGTGGTAGCTCTCAGAGAGGCTGATTCCATCAACAGCTGAAAAATATCAGAGTACTAACAGTGCCATGTTGCGCATGGATGGTGTCCCTGTTTGTACTTTTGGTGTGCATTGCCAAGGCCACATTGGAGCACTTTGTTACGGCTTAGAGTTTATTAGTGAAAATGAGGCGATTGCTTGAGCTATAGAACAGTGTACTGAGTACTATCAATGTTTCGAGTCAAGTTCTTTAACAAATTTAAAAATGAATAAAGTAACAAAAACTATAAAACACAAAAAACCACAGTCATCACCAAGTTTGCTAAACCTATCATTCACCAATATTCGTGGTCTTCGAAGTAACTTTTCTTCTGTTGAGTCTTATCTCTTGCAAAGTTCACCAGACCTACTTGCTCCTTGTGAGACTAATTTGAGTTCAGCAGTCTTATCTTGTGATCTTAGTGTTAATGGTTATCTTCTTTTAATTCATAAAGACTCCAATAGTCACATGCTTGGCCTGGGCATTTACATTTGTAAGAACTCACCCATTTGTCAGGAAACTAGGTTTGAATCCACAGACTACTCTTTTATGTGCTTTCTCTTTGTTCTATATCGCTCTACTTCATCTCAAGACTGCACTTTTCTTGGTGTTATTTCTGATCATATTGACCAAGCTCTCTCTCTTTATCTATCAGCCAATATTGTTGTCGGTGACTTTAATGTTCATCACACTGAATGGCTTGGCTCTAGTGTCAGTGACTCTGCAGGTATTAAAGCACACAACTTTTACCTTTCTCAATCCCTAACTCAAATCAAACATTCCAACTTGCTTTCCAGACAACCCGAATCATTTACCTTCTCTACTCGACTTATGTCTTGTTTCTGATCCTAGTCAGTGCTCAGTTTCTTCACACTCACCCTTAGGTGCTTCTGATCATGGTTTGGTCTCTCTAAAACTATTATCTCATTCTTCTTTACCATCAGAATCCCCCTATCATCGTACATCTTACAACTACCTTAATGCTGACTGGGACTCTTTCCGTGATTTGGCCACTGGGTAGAAATATTCCGTCTCCCTGTTGACAAATGTGCTTCTTACATAACTTCATGGATTCAGGCTGACGTGGAGTCCCTTATTCCCTCTCAACGATTCCAGGTCAAGCCTCACTCTTTTCCAAGGTTTTCCTCACATTGTGCTGCTGTAATTACTAATCGAAACCATTACTTCCATATCTATCAGCAAAACAATTCTCTAGAAAACAGACGTCTGTTTATTATTGCTAGGAACCATTGTAAAAAGGTTTTGTCTAATGCCAAAGCCCGCTATTCTCAGATCATGAAATCTCGTATTTCATCACAAAAATTATGCTCTCGTGACTTCTGGAGAATCTTTAATATTATCAATAATAAGGGCAAGTCTGTAATTCCACCTCTTTTATATGGTTCAGACTTTGTCACTACACCTAAAGACAAAGCTGAATTGTTTGCCAAGAACTTTTCATCAATATCATCTCTTGATGCCACTAGTTGCGTTCTACCTGATATAGCCATCAAACAGGTTGATCCATTGCTTGACATTCGTATCACTCCAGCTTCTGTATCTAATGTGATTTTCTGCTTAGACTCTTCTACAGCTTGCGGCCCGGACAACATACCTGTTATAGTCTTGCAGAAGTGTTCTCCGGAGCTGTCGTCTATCCTTTCAAAACTATTTAACAAGTGCTTATCAGAGTCTTGTTTTCTAGCCGGCTGGAAAGCAGCATCTGTTATCCCTATTTTTAAAAATTCTGGAGAGAAATTCTTGAATAATAAAAATAATAACAAATCAAAAGTTTTTTAAGGACTTGTAACTATTATTATTTTAGAACAGTTTTTTGTATTTACGTTTTTTAGTATTTATAATTTTTTTTCAACTATTTATTTTTTTACACTTGCTCAACTTTTTCAGTTTCTTTTTTATAAAACTTTTAAAGTCGAAATTTTTTAATCTTTTGCAACTTTTTCAATCGGAAGTAAAGGAAATGTTGCTTTATTTTTATTATTATTATTTTTTTTTTGCGCATTATTTTTTTTTTGTTGTGTTTTATAGACTTTAGTAATTCACAATAAAATATAACCAATATAAAAAAATAAAAGTTGTTTTAAAAAAATTATATTATTAGTTTTATTTTTTAGAGAAACTGCTTTTAACGCCATTTAAGCTTCAAACTGTACCTCCTCCAATGGCAGCACTTACAATAACATTATCAAATACATCCAATATAATTGCATTTGGTGTTGAATCAAAGAAACATGATTTACTTATTCAAACATCTGAAAAGCAGTTTGTTTATCTGTTGTATGATGGCCAATACAAAATGATCCCTGTTTTAACTGACAATAAAATTACTGAGTTAAATTTGCGACAATTTGTATGGTTTCATGAACTCTATGTTTCAGCTATTGCAGATAATCAATCAGGAAACAGTATTATATTGATGGAGCTTTCGATCAAAGATAATAATATAAGCCTAACATTAAAAGATCAGTATGTTTTTATACTTTTTATTTTTTTAGTAATAATAATTGATTATGCAATAATTCAATTTTTTTTTTTTTCACCATAACAATTTTTAGATAATATCAAAAATTTTGTTATAAAATTAAAAAAAGTTAAATTTTTTTTTTTAATTGCTCCATAAAGTTTTTTTGAACCAAGTCATAAAGTTATTTTTTATTTTTTTCACTTTTTTCAAGTTTTATAAATTTTTTATTTTCTCAAATCTCAAAACAAAACAAATCCAGTTAAACAAACTTAATTTAAGTTTGTTTAACTTGATTTTTGTGGCCGTGGTGCAGAGGTTAGAGCACTTGCTTTATAAGCTCTAGACATATTTTCGCCTCACGGTAAGGAAGGAGGCATGAACAACCTGGTTAAATGTATATCTGCAGTGCTCTGTGACAAAACCGTTAGGTCTTCTTGGGGCACCTGAAAAAGAATTTAAAAAAAAAAAAGTTTTTTTTTAATTTCAATTTTATTAGGTATGTTGATTTGTTGTTATTTAATTTGTTATATTATTTATGTTTAAACATATTATAAGAACTGTTTTTAATTAGATATTTATGTTTTTATTTTGTTATTTTGCTAATCTTCATAATTATGTGTTACCACTTAAACTATATTTAAAGTTTATTTTAAAGTTTTTTCATAATTTTATCTTAATGCTGTGCTTCAACTTTTAATTTTAGAATATTTGTTCCGAATAAAGTTCTTGTATTGTTTAAAAGCAACTTTTGTAACTTGTATATTGAAAATGAGAAGGGTGGAATCTATGAGTTGATATTGGACGGTACATCTTAAATGTTTCTTTATATGTTCTCATCTCATTAATTCCTATATAGATATTTACATATATATATATATATATATATATATATATATATATATATATATATATATATATATATATATATATATATATATATATATATATATATATATATATATATATATATATATATATATATATATATATGAAAATGAGATATATATATATATATATATGTGTGTGTGTGTATATATATATATATATATATATATATATATATATATATATATATATATATATATATATATATATATATATATATATATATATATATACACACACATATACATATACATATATGTATATATATATATTAAAAGTTACTTTAAATATTAGGTATTTTAAAGTTGGAGAAAAATTTATGTTGTTCTTTACCTTTGCCTTGTTCCAATATTGCGTGCCTAAAGTTTGAAGATAAAACTATGGTGTTTGGTTTGACAAATCAATATCGTTTATTTCTTAATGAAAAGGAGGTATATGTAAACATATTTAAACCATTAATCATACCATAGGCACCATTGTAAACCACCATTCATACTTTAAGCAACATTGTCAACAAGTTTTCATATCATAGGCACTCTTGTGAACTTTCATTCACACACTAGGCACTATTGTAGACTACTATTCAAAACATTACAATTATACTATTGTAAATCAATTACCATTGAGTAAGTTTTGTAGTTTTTCAAATTCTAAAAACTATTTATTATTTATCATTATGCATTAAACAAGAATTTTTGTAAAGCTTCTACAATTTTTTTAAATATGTGAGATAAGGTCCCAAAACATTTTCTTTAAAAGAAATGCTTGTTTCTATTTTTTAGCTCTAAAACATGAGTCTTAATAAGCAAAACAACAAAGCAACAAGTTGGGTGTTGTACTATCTAGCTACTACACTGTACTACCAGGGGCAGTGTGAAGACTTTGAACTTCTCTTTTAAAAGGGAGCACTCTACCATTATCACATAAATTTAATGGCAAATTTTTAATATCTAAACAATTCTCACAAATAGAACATACCAAATGATTCTTTTTATTATTTTAGTAGTTTTACTAAAATGAAATCACTTGATGAATTTTTTAGTGTTGCTTTGAAACCATTAAGTTTGGATTTTTTCCTTATATTTTTATTAGCTACTTGCATGAGTAAAATGTCTTAAAATCTGTTTTTGACATTTTAGCTAAATTGTTTTTAAGTTTTTTTTTGTATATTTATTGTATTAATAATATATTAAGGCCAAAGTTTTGTATAATAGTATATTACACAAAAGTTGCCAAAGTTCTAATATAGTAGTATAAAATGACTGTTTTCTATGGAAATTATTATATAATTTCCATAGAAAATTATTATAATGCGGTAGTGGTGTAGTGGTAGAGCGTTCGCTTCATAAACGAGTGGTTCCGAGTTCGATCCCCACCACGTCCCTGGTAGTACCGCGCTCAACTTGTTTCTCCGCGCAGCGGCCTTGTTCGTCAAGGTTCGTGTTTTGGAGTTATAGAGTTGAGAGAGGGTTATAACCACAAATAAGTAGCCTCCTCGTCTGTAGTGGCCATCTCGGCCTTGAGGAGGTGAATTAAAATAAAAAATATATATATATATATATATATATAAACAGTGGTGTGCAAAATAATGATTTAGATTTTTGTATAAAATAGGCGTCAATATAAGATCAGCAATATAAAATAAATTATTTATTTAATTAGTTATTATACAGTTAATTTAACTATAACTAATATTTTAAATGTAATAAAATAATTTAAAAACAAAATTTATTTACTAAATATCTAGAGATGTGACACGTTTTTTTGGTTCTTATTTTTTTGGAAAAAAAAACGCAGGGGTCCGTTTTTTTTTTTTTTTTTTTGGAAATATTCAAAAATTAATTGTTTAAGCTACTAATTTTAACTTTAATGGCAATATCTTAGTTCATATTTTGATTTCTGATTTAAATAGGACAATAAATACTGAAATTATTTTTATTTTTGTATGCTTAAAGGTTAACACGGTTTAAGCAGTCCTGTATAAAAACTTTTATCATAATTTTATCTTCCTCAATTTTATTATTATTGGTTTTAGTGTATATTGACACAATAAACATTGTTTATTTACATTTATTATATTTAATTAGATTTAACAATTAATGAATGAGACTTCGGTGAATGACGAATCAAGAGAAAATGAGTTTTTATTGATGGAACTAGAGATGATAACTCTTTTGAGCACCAGGTAGAAAAGAGAAAGAGATGCAATTTTACGACAATGGGAAAGAGGCTCAAGCTTAGCAGATAGAGTGGTTCCAACTATGTTTACAAAGCAATTTTAGACCTTGTGTAAAAGGTAGAGAATGGAATCAAGGGTAAGAAAATGATGATAATGCTAATTTAGCAGTCGATTGTATATTTTGTTTACATGAAAGGTCAGTAGTAAACGATAATCCAAGAAGGTGTAAAAAAGAAGACTCAGTGAGAGGTTTGCCACTTATTAATATAGGAATGTCAGCAGTATTGTTGTAGTTGTTTGTAGTAAATAACTGAGTTTGGTTGGAGTTAACATTTATAAGCCAAAACATGTGAGCCCCAATCTGTTACAGTAGTGAGATCAGATTCAAAATTGGCTGCCTGTTCAAGCGAACAAAATTAAAGACTTTTTGTCAAGACAGGAGTAAAAACCTGAGTCATCAGCAAAAAGAGCTATTTTAGATGTAGGGTTGTCGGGAAGATAAATAATGTAGATAAGAAACAAAACAGGACCAAAGATAGAACCTTGAGACCCTAGAAGTTACTGGAAATAAGTAAGTAGGCCTTCGAGGATGATTTTAATAAAGCAGTTGGCAAAAAATAATTTGATAATCCCAGATACATCATTTGAAATTTCAAGTCTAATTTAAGTTTAATTGTCTAATATTTAGTTCATACTTAAGCTCATTTTCTATTCAACAGGTCCCTATTGTTTAAAAAATGTTTATATTAAAAAGGTGAACTTATTACTCAAATGAACAGAAATTTCATATAAATCTATATAAAAAAAAAAAAAAAATTAAACAAAGATATCAAGAAACTTATAGAAATTCATGTTTTTTAATTTTGATATGAAAACTGTAGTTTTTATGCAGTAGAAATTAAAAATAGATTAGTACATACAAAAGTACACCACATTAACAACACTGAGTAGTGATTTTTTATCTAAAGGGGTTTTAAAGCACCATACTATCTATATATACATACATATATATATATAAAGAAAAAGATATCTTTAAATTATTAAGTGATTTCTTTTTGTTTTTCTTGTTTTTAATCAACAAGAAGATCTCCATACATGGGGCAGAAATAAAGCCTTAGTCAACCATTTATTTAAACCTCTGAACTAAATTAGCGAAATGGAAAAAGATAAACGATCTTTTTGCATGTCTATAAATATCTTTAACTAACTTTTAAACAAAACCTAACTTGGTTGATAACTTTATTATTGTTTTTATTATTAATTAATTTTTGTCTCCTTTTACCAAAGAATATTTTGCCATTTTGAAGATGGCTAGCCCACATGTTCCATAGCAAAATCTTTCCTATTTTTAATATTATTTGGTGTTACAAATGGACACTTCTTTGGTACCTTGAGTTACACATGTTGTTGAGTTTTTCTAACTTTCGAAGCATTAGTTTACAGGCCTAAAGTAGTTTTTATGTCATTTGATGTTGCAAAAGGATTTCATAATGCATCTATCACATTCATAAATATGATGTGAACAATGTGGCTCATTAGGGTTTGTTTATAAATCATGTCATGCTTGGGGGGGGGGGGAGTGATTAGTGGGATTATGACGACTCATATGGAACTTGTTACTATGTTAGAGTTATAAAGTTATGATGTAGTGGCAGGGGGGGAGGGATTCAAAAATTGTGTGTTGTGATTTGTGGGCAACCCCTTATGCTTATTATTACCTTTTATTTCGCGCGCCACTGTATACACTGTGTATACATAAATATATATACATATATATATATATATATGTATATATATATATATATATATATATATATATATATATATATATATATATATATATATATATATATATATATATATACAGACACACACACACACACAGTATATAAAGTGGTGAGCGAAATAATAGGTAATAATAAGCATAAGGGGTTGCCCACAAATCACTCCACACAGTTTTTGACTCTTAAATGTTGCTGGATCAGCTCTTAAGCTCAAGTCTCTGTTCTATTGTTGTCTGTTGTATTGTTGTTACGGTCATCGAGCACGACTATTTTCCTAATCGCAATTACTGTCACCGCGAAAGAGGATTTTTGTCTGTGGAAGATTAGCTTTTTCATCATAAGTCAGTTATAAATCCATGCATAGGTGTTTAATCCATCATGGTTTTCTGGAGTATGGCTGGGCTGGCTTGGTTTAGTTCAGAGACAAATCTTTTACGCTGGTTACTAACAATACAAGACTCTACTGAACGACATAAACAGCACAGACTTACACATTACACCTATACACCCTTATGCACATACAGCCTGTTTACATCTTTTGTATGCTTTTTGTTCTTTCATAGATAAACTATCTTTGTTTGAACTCATTCTTATTTAGATAATATTTTCTTTTAATAGATATGTTGTTGAAATGTAGATACAGATTTGTATGTTATCTATATGTGTTTATCATGTGTGATTGAATTTTTCATTGAAAATTCATATGCATATACATATAAGCATAAGAGCGATTCTTATAAACTAACGGCTTTCGACTTGTTTTTATGAAGTATGTTTTTCCTTGTTATTTTGTTATGGTCTCAAAGTTACATTTAATTCGGACCGTAGAGAAAACTTTACTTTTGGGAAATTTCGATTTAGATATAGTCTCAAAGTTTCTTTTAGTTCGGACCGTAGAGAAAACTTCATTTCTTAACAATTTTTTTCCCGCTTTCTACATCGTTTTTATATCACGATTTACATCATTGTTATATTACCCACAACTAATTTTTTAACCACTCATTTGGCTTAAAATTATCTGGTTTTATTACAATATTTAGTTAGTCTTATTGCTGTATTTATTAATATATTACTGTTTACAGAAACTTTCATGTTATATTATCTTGCATTCATTACTCAGCTTTGTTTTAATTTTCACATGCACAATTTTCATCTTTACTATTATTCAGAGAATATTTTTATATCCTTCATTTAATGTTTACATATATGTCGCTTACATTTTTAAGGTTTTTGTGCAATGTTCTTTTTCGCTATCATATATTATTCGATTATTGTTATAATTTTGGGTTTCGCGGGTTACTCATTTTCCTACACTTTTGATTGGTTATCATATTTCGAATGAGGTATCTATGACAGCGTTAGAGTTTATTTAAGGGTATTGTTTTATTAAAAAAAAATTTTAATGAGGTATACTGCTTTCTGATTATCTTGGGCTTATTTATGCTAATAATACTTATTTGGTTTTATTTCTTAAAATAAATTGATTAATATTTTTATGTTTCTATCAGAATTTTAATTTATTTTGTTTTCATGTTTTCTTTTGGTGGTACGGTAAGTGTTTTATTTAGTTATTTTTATTTTTGTTTGTTCAGTAAATCTATACTTTTTATATCATATCATCAAAAGAAATATTGGTGCTTTACAAGTTTGGGGTTGGTTGGGTTTTGGCTACTTGTAGTGAGTCCTTTTTTACTGCAGTATGGAATAGGCGTAAGTCGCGGGGTAAAGCATAAGTGGCGATGATGTTTGTCTGACGGGATAAACTAGTTATAAATGCTGATCCTCATCAAAATGCCAGTAATAATAGACGCGACTCTGAGAAGATGTTTATTACTTAATCACTACACTAATTATGTTTACACATTAGCATTAATGTTTTTTGTTTTTTTTTTCCATTATTAGTCCTTTCATTGCTGTTAGCATATTTTTAATTTGTTGAATGGTTTTTTGTTTTACAAATTTTTGACTGGTTATGTATTTCTTGTATATTTTCGTTCATATTGTTATTTATAAAACAATTTTTTTTATTTTTTTATTTATATATATATATATATATATATATATATATATATATTATTATTATTTGCTTTTATTTTTTTAATTTTTTTTTTTATTTGTTATTATGGTTGAGTACTGTTTTGGTTGTATAGCTTGTCTTATTTATTTTTAAATATTCCTCTATTAATCTTTATTTTTGTCTTGACAACTGTCAAAATATGCTTTGTCTAATAAATAATTCTCCTTTATTCTAATTTCAATACTTTCTTTTTTCAACATTGTTTTTTTTATTGTTTATCAGTTTTATTTAATTATTTATCAGTGTAGTACTTTTAGACTTATTAGTATTTTTAATAATTTCTATATTATGTATGACATATTGTCATCTTCATCTTGTTTAAGCCCCTGTCTGTTTAATATTTTATTTAACACTTAGTGACAAGTTTGTACTTTTTATTGTATATTTATCTTGATTTTTGCTTATTAAACAGCGAAACAAATGTAATAATAAAAAAAAATGTTAAAAGAACCTAAATCTAATATAGGGGAAGGTTGAGCATGTTAACAGTGTTATAATATTTATATTTGTTTTTGCAGATTATCATAATTTAATCTTTCCTCTTAGATCTTCTTAATTTCAATTGTATAGCGTTACGTACAAATTTATGTGAGTGTAAACGTCTTAATGTTGAGTTTGCAGGCATTTTATGGAATAATCGCATGTATCTATATACTATGAAATGAGAAAACTTTAAAGTTTTATTTTAAATTATAGAAATCTTTTTTGCTATATTAATGTTCATTCTTCCTTTTCAACATATTGTTTCTCTTTCTTTTTTCAACAGACACTGCCATAGCTCCTACTTGGCGAGTTTTCATCTTTTGATCCATTAACGATAACCTAATCTTGCATATCTTGTTATTCTATAAATTCTTTTAGTGTAACTCTTATTCTTTAACTGTAACTGTGTAACTGTTCTGAGCAATTCCATGTCGAAATTTTTTTTAAAAAAAGTGCAACCCTAAGACTCAGATTTTGCACAACAGATTTGAATGGGTAATGAATATTCCCATTTTATCTCCTAATTTTTTCAAGTTTCAAAGATATGGCTATTCAAACTTTGCCTTGAACCAGCAAAAATCTGCCATTTTAAAAAATGATTTTAGTCTTACCTTCTGTTATGTGTGCAATGGAAAGCTGAAAATGTGTACACTTACATATTTTGAGGAAAGGAATCCAATAAAACAACTTAAAATATTTATAAATAAACATAATATATAAACATACATAAACAATGTAATTTTGATCTTTATTGCAATTTTACTGAGGCAAGTATAATTTAAGATAATAAGTTTATTTTTAGATGTCATTCTGATTAGTTTCTGAGTGTGGTATTTTCTTAAACAGAAAAAAAAACTACATGAAATTTACTTAAGTTAGTTACTTATAAAACAGGAATTATGAAAAATCAAAAGAAAAAATAGGTGTTAAGTGCTTATTGCTAGATTTCTTAGTGCTTATACACAGAAGTTTGGAAAGTTTGGAAATAAGTGTTAAGTGTTAAGTGCTTAATTTAGTGCTAATACACAGAAGTTGATGTTTAATAATTTTTTGGAACATTTTCCTACGCACCCTGAGCTTAAATGAAATTTACAAAAAGATTACTTTTTCCTAGTTTTTATCAAGAAGCTCTAAAAATATAAAAAAGCTTATGGACTACTCATGGGACAAGGACTCCAGGACTCAAGGCATAAAAACTACAAGTTACATTTAGGTCCTAAAAATTAGAAATTATAAACTTATTTATAGAAATAAAAATGAAAATTTCTACCCTCTTGTTTATTAATACCCCCTTTCTCCCCTCCCCCTTTCCTTTCATATCTCCCCTCTTTTACTACATCAGGACAAAAACTTGGTTTGTTGAAAGAGTTCAAAAAGTTTATTATGCTAAATTTTGAGTGCAGGTGATCAGTATTTTTTGTAATCATTTCTCTTCCTTTATTTACAACTTCCTTCACAACTCTAAATATAATTCAAACAGGTAGCACAAAATTAGAAACATCAGTTTCTGAATTAGCTTACCATTTACCACTATGTTGCCTAACTGGAAGTCCCTCGCCTATTGCTGTGAGAAATATTTTCTTTAAAACATTTTTAGGTAAAAACAAGGTAGATTGTTTATATCTGTGATGATATTCTAATGATTATTACATTCTGAATATGAATTACACGTTAGGCTCAATTTTGTAAATTATTAAATGCCAAATTAAATAAAATGATTAATGCTCTGTCATTTTAAAACATGCTGTGGCACATGATAAAGGAAGTGATAAAATAATGAAATGCAGAAAGTGACAGTCACACAACTTTATTATATATTGAGGTTTTTTACCAATAATTATCTCAATCAATTGTTGGCCACTGGTCAATAAAAAAACAACTGTTTATTATTCATTAACATTAATCTTGTCAAAACTTGTTTCGTATAGTACTACAAATTTAATGAAATATTTAGAAATAATAAATTAAAAAGTCAAGTTTTGGTTCTAAATTTCTTCATTAAATTTATCTGCAAATGATGTGCATTTGACGTGTTTTATATTTCTGTTTTAGGAAAGACCACAGTTTTTAGTTATCACAATTAATCGTTTTAACTAAATTATTCAACTATTAAAAAGAAACTGAGCGTTTACGAATTTTTTGTTTTTTTCCTATAAGTGAGTTTCTAGTTAAATCGGTTTCAAAAATTAGAAAATAATAACTTAGATTTTTTTAAAATTTGAAATACAGTTTCTTTGTTCATAACAAGTAAAATTTACTAAACGGAGAAAGGGGGTCTTAATAAGCTCAAGGTAGGTGGGAAAATTTTCCAGAAAATATTAAACATCAACTGTGTATTAAGCCCTTTTTTATTATTTCTGTTTTGTAAGTTACAAATTTAAGTAAATTTCATTTTTTTGTTTTGTTTTAAAAAGAAAATTATTTGTAACAACTCTCACTAATTTATTTAGGGCAACATCTAAAAAAAAAAGAAGCTACATCAGCATTTTTATAATTAAACTCGCCCCAGTAAAAGTGTGATAAAGGCCAAAATTATATTTTATGATTATTTTTAAATATTTTTAGTTGTTTTATTGGATTCCTTGCCTTAAAATATGTAAATGTATACATTTTCTATTGCACACAGAACAGAAGCTAAGACTAAAACCATATTTTAAAAGGCAAGCGAGGCGAGTTAAGGCAAAAGTTTTTCTGATTAGTCTTTAACCAACATTGTTTATTGTTAGTCAAAGTTTGAATCATATCTTTGAAACCATTTAGAATTAGATGATAAAATTTTGAGAATGTTCATAACTTATTAAAATCTTTGAGTGGTGCAAAATCTGAGACTTATGGTTGCATACTCTGTATGTTTTCCTGTCTCTAAACATCGCTCTAATAGTTATAAGAGTTAAAGATAAAGAGTTGACAGAGTCAAAAAACTTTAAACTTTGTTTTTTTGCCCTTAATCTCTTTTCTTAGCTTTTCATTTTTTTTAAATTTTTCCTTTAAGGTTTCCTGCCTTGTTGAAAGTAAATTTGTTACTGAAGTCTTATAAAGTTTAGCCCAGCCAGTAATTATAATTGTAATGTTTTAAGTGATTCACAGTGATATTTTTACATTTTTTTTATTTTAAAAGATAAGAAAATACATATGCTGCATATTTTATATAAGTATATAGATGCATAGTTGATCATCAATATGTCCTTATAAAAAGTGTAACTGTTTTCAATTTTAAAAGTGTAACTGTGTTCAAAATACTTTACAGAATTTTTTTTTTTTATATTCTTTGTTTTATTGTTTGTGCAGATAAAGTAGAAAAAGTAAACAGAAAGAATTATAAGTAGTAGTATATAAAGCAATATAAAAGATCCAAAGAAGATTGTCACTAATAAAAATTATAAAAAATTAAAAAAAACTTTAATAAAAACTATAATATATAATCACCAATGAGATTGACCAATCACCAATGAGATTGACCAATCACCAATCAGAAGATTGTCATCTGAATTGATAAAATTGCAATCATTAAAGAATCTCCTCAACCTCACATAAATAGTTTAACGATATGATCCGACAAAATAGTTATATTTTTATTTTTATTGCTTTATTTGTTATTATTATTATTATTTTTTTTCGGTCACATTTTTTTAAATAAACATAAAATATTAAATTTTTAATGTTTTAGATAGCTACAAATTGCACATCATTTTTTGTGCACGATGAGTTTCTTCTTTTAACAACGCATACCCACAGCCTGCGATGCATTAGTTTGAGTTCTTTGTTTAAAGGTTTTTATTATTATAGATTTTAAATTATGATATTTAAATAATGATAATTTATTCAAATAATTTATTAAATAATGATAATTTATTCAATACAATAGATAATATTATTCAAATAATTTATTAAATAATGATAATTTATTCAATACGATATATAATATTATTCAAATAATTTATTAAATAATGATAATTTATTCAATACAATAGATAATATTATTCAAATAATTTATTAAATAATGATAATTTATTCAATACAATAGATAATTTATTCAAATCAAATATGAATAATCTCAAGTTAATTGTTTTTATTTAATTTTTGTACAAAGTATCGCTAGGTTTATTTTACAGTAATTTTATCTATTCTATTATCAATGTGGTATATATGTACATGATATTTATGTGTAGAGATAGGTAAAGCAAATTTTACATCAACTGAAGGTTTGAGTTAAGCTGTGATCATTTATGATAATGTATAAGTCAGCACACTGCTAATATATTCTGTTAAACTTCATTTTTGAAATGTTGTTTTACTAAAGTAAAAAAAGATTGTAAAAATAATGATGAAAAATGACCTAATAAATATTAGTAAATATTAATAAATAAAATATAATGACTTAATAAATAAGACATTTTTGCTTTGGTTTTTATAAATGCTTTTTTGTATACAGATGTTTTTCTTCTATTAGACATACATATATATTGAAAAAGTTTTTTTAATTAAGACAATCTAAGAATTGACTAAATTTAAGGCTTCATTGTGAGAAGTTAAGTGTTGGTTGGTCAGGCCATGAGCCATTGGTTGGAATAAGTAGTAATCAGAAAGTTCAATATCTCTAAATGTGAGTATGGACTATTGAAACACCATAAAAGTGTCCTTGATAAATTTTGCAACATGTGGCTTAGGATTCCTGTGCTGAATGGTCACTTAGTTGTGTCTTTTTGTATTGGAGAGGGCAATAAGAGGTATTTGAGTTCAATATTTAGCTTAGTTGCATCATTTGCTTTAATATACACATAACCATCTTGTAACATGAATATAGTTACTAGATGTATAGGTGTAGTTGGTAGTGATGTACTGATAAAAAAGATCGATTGTGCCTAATAATGGGTGTATTGTATATATATAAAGGATCGTCCATAAATTACGCAACTACTAAAGTAGGAGATCTTAAGCTCTTTTATGCAGCAATTTTCATGAATTTTTATTTAACTTAAGGCTCTGTGAGGGAAAATTTTTTTGTTTTGTTTATTAGTGAAATTATAATTTATGGACGATCCCTAAGGGTAATATAATAGTAATTAGTAATATATTAGGAATGTAAAAGACATATATAAGATGTACCTATACATATACTCAAAACTTGCCCTTAATAAGGTTTTTCTGTTTTAATAGTGATTACAGTAAATGACTCCTTATTTTTGGATGAAGCATCAAGAAGGATAGAACGTGGCTCACGTTTAATCACTGTTATTGCTCAAGGCACATTAGCTATATTGCAGGTTGTTCTATATTTTATGTTGTTTTTTCATTTTTAATTTATTTAAAAACCAATGTTTTTCATCATAGTATTTATAGTATTATAAATATCTTTAATTTATTTTAAACTAATTTTAGTTGCTATAGTAGCTATAGTTATGGTATAGTATAGTAATAAAAGTTGTGCTGTTTTTAATAGGTAGTTTTTTATTTATTGTTTGTTAATTTAAAAATAATTATAAAATAGTTTGTATTATAGATGCCACGAGGTAATTTGGAGTGTATTCATCCTCGTGCATTAGTCATCTGTCACCTTAAAAAGTTATTATCAAAGTAAGTTATAAAACTTTATTTATTTTGGAATATTTAAATTATCTTTTAGTATCATTTATGTGACATTTATCTAGAAAATATAAGATGGTAAAAAAAAAGCATTTAAATGCAGCTAAGAATTTTTTAAAGAAACAGAATATTTTATAAACTTTTTTTTTTAATTAAAAGACTTTAAACTAATTATGGTTTTAAAAATTTTTTAAAAGCTTTAACTTAAAAAGACTAAATAATTCAAAATAGAAATCTGGCTTTATTTTTAATGCATTGAATTTATCAACTTAGTGAATTATTTTCTAAAACAAGAACTTCTAGATTTAAAAACATGCTCATTTAACAGCTAAACCCCCTTTAACAACATTTTTCATAATTTTGCAAAAAATGCGGTTTGCTTACAGACTTTAATAAAGGCTGTTTCAGTTAATCTTTAACAATTAAGTAAGATTTTTTTATTTTAATAATAGTTAAACAATGAGTGTATTTGATAATAACTATCAGAAACATACTTTTCTAATTTTTATTTTGATAAAAAGTAACAACAAATTACTAAAATTTAACTAAGTTCATCATTTGTCGCGTTTTTTATAAACTAAAAGAAGTTTTTTTACTATTGTATTAAATGTCGTATGATAAAACATTTTATTGTTGTTTTTATTCCTTTAACAAAACAAAATTATCTCTAATATTTCAAAAGTTATAAATGTTTTAGTAACAACCCTTAAGTCAAAATTTTCAAAAAAAACAACAAGTAGCCATAAAGCTCACTCTGAATGATAAATCTCGTTGTGATAAATCCCTTCATCATAGATATAATTATGTGAAAGCTTAAAAATTAAATTTTTTTTTTTTGTTATTTATTTTATGTTAATTCCATTCTTTTGTTTGAAAAAATAAAGATTCTAACATAATCTTTTTTTTTAAAACAAAAGAATATGTTAAGTATAAAATTGTTTTAAGAAGTAACATATAAGGAAATATGATCTTTTTCAAATGCTGAATTTAGATTTTGTCAGTAATTTTTATTAAATTAGTTTAAATAATTTTTAATGCATTTTAAAATTAAATTAAATTAAAACGCGGTACATTTTAAAATATGCTAAGTGACACAATTTAACTTTTAAGGGTTTAAATATCAAAGTTATGTTAAAGTTACATTTATTAGTGTTTTTGTTATGCAATAAAATCTCATAACATAGCCTGAATTTATAAACTAGTTGTTAATAGTCTTGAAAATTTAAAAAAGGTATTAAAGTCTAGTAACTAATAATTGAATTTTTCTGTTCTGTGCATAGTTCCATTTCAACTTTGTTCTTTGGTAAAATTACTAATGTAAACCATTCTTTTTTACAAAATATTTATACATGGCAGATTACAGATTTTGGTGTAGATTCTATACTTTCTTCTTTAAATTATATTTAACTCCTTGCGTAATTTTGTTGAACAATAGCTCTACTAGTAGGTTAGTTTTTAAAAAATTACAAGTTTTAGGTTGAGCAAAAAAAAAAAAAAAAATTCAGAAATAATTTGAAATTGCATAAAAAACATAATAAAATTTGATGTAAACTAAAGGACTTAATACTGTTCAAAATCAATATCTTAATCAGTGTAATGCTTTATGTATTAATCAATTTCAAAGCACAACGTACAATTCAACAGCACCATGTTCTTTTTTTTTTTTTTTTATGGTTTAACATTGGTTATAACATGCAACACATCTTCTTATAGCAGTTACAAGAGGATATGTAGCACACATTAGGAACCATTAGATGTGCTTCTTTGTGTGCAGTTGCCATTAACTTAAATAATAGTTACGCAAGTTGATGACTCTTTAAGTTAAAAAAAAGTCTTTTTGAGTGTTGGGTGTCTACCATATTGCTTAGAGTAAGACTCAACTTATAATTTGTATTTGAAAGCTAGTGGCAAAAAAAAAATTTTTAGTCTATATGTACTCTGTAATCAAAAATAAAAAGCAATCAGCCTATCATTCTTTTTATTGTATTAACTTAAAGTAATGAAAAAAGAACAAAAATAGACTGGGTACTAGCAATACTTTAGTATTTTCAGAAGAGATATATGTAGAGGAGATATATGATATATAGAGGAGATATATGATATATAAAGGAGATATATGATATATAAAGGAGATATATGTGCCATCACATTATCTAAGTCACTATTACTAAAACTTGAAATAGTTGTGAAACCTGTAACTAAACCTAAAATCTGTGAAAATTGTTGTGAATTAAAATAAAATTTAGTTCAACATCACTAGGTTTTTTTTAAAAAAGTAAAACAGTATTTTGTAAAGTTCAAATTCTGAATCAGTTTTCAACTTGTAGAAATATATCCAATACAAGCTTAAAATGCCTTCATCCAAGTTTTTATCTTTGATATATATACCCCTTTAACAGATAAGGCTAATATAAAATGATAATCTAAATTAAGTGTTTTTTATTTTATATTAAATTTTTTTTAATTTTTGTTACAACCTTTAACTTCTTTTACAATCTTCTTTCATCTTCTTCAACAACCTCCCAACTTCTTCTACAACTTTCTCCCAACTTCTTCTTCAACTTTCTCTCAACTTCTTCTACAACCTTCTCTCAACTTCTTCAGAAAGAGTTTGATATTTTTGTATTGAGTTGTGATATTTAAAATTTATTTTGATATAAATTTATTTTGATATAAATATTTTCTTTACTTAATAGTTAACATTCTTTAATTTACACATATTTAGACTAAGAGATTTGTTGCATAACTCATATAAAATGTTAATAAAATTTTAATAAAATCATCAACTTAATTTAAAAATGTTTAACAAGTTTCTCCTTAGAATATTTTTATAATTTAAACTTTTCAATACAGATATAAAGTTTGTAGCATTCTAAAAAAATAGCAGTAAAAAACTCTCCTACATGTTTGCTTGTTATTTTTGCTTATTGTTGCCTATTAGATTATCATTTTTCACCATAATTTATATTGTGAAAAATATATATTTTTCAGCAATAATTTGTAAATTTATAATTTTTTATCTTTTATCTCTTATTTTTTTATAATTTTATTTCCATTTTGTTGTTTAATCTTAAATTAAAAGCTTTCATTAAAAGCTTTTAATAGTAAAATTGTCTAGTACTAAATCTTACTACCAATATATTATGTACTTGATTATACCTTTATAATGTAAAAATAAAAAAAATAAAAAAACTGTTTTGGTACCGAAATACTGAGTACTGTGACAAAACTAATCAACAATATAAATTATTTATTTAGATTGAAATCTAGTTGAAATGCATCAAATTAAACAAAAGCATACACATAATTGTTAAATTGAAACTAAATAATTGTAAATTATTTAATCTCAAAAATTTGAGATTAAATAATTGTAATAAAGTGAATTTTTTTGATAATTGAAATTAAATTTGGACTTTGGACTCCTTATTGTATCATGGTTTTAAAATTTCTATTTTTATGAAACTTTTTGTTAATTTTTCAAAATGTAAGATTACTAGTGTTTTCATAGTTTAGAATATGCGGAAGCAATGGACATTATGCGTAAACATCGTATCAACTTAAATCTATTTTATGATCACAACCCTGAGGTTAGTTAAATTAGTTTTCCTATGTTTGCTTTTTTTTAATTCTTAAATCCATGTTTCATTGAAAAAAACTTTAAATAGGGTAAATATAATTTGCATTTTTTCTATACGTAAATAGATTTTGTCTTTTGGCACATTAAGGTGAACTTGCAACTTCACAGTTTTAAAAATTAAAGTTATTGCTAACATTTTTTTTTTTGTAATTTTCCTAATATTATACAAATAAATTATATTATAAGTTGATTAAAAGAAGTTATATATTTTTTTTTAAATAATAAAAGTAAAAAATTACAAGAATTTTTTAATGAGAAAGAATAAGTCTCAATAAAATATAAAATAAGTTAATTATATGTTATTTTTTGATTGAACGTTATTTGTTACATAGTTTCATTCTTTCAATTTTCAAGGGGTTTGAATTCAGCGATAAATTAAAAAAAAAGAAAAAAATATTATAAGGTTTTGATTTAACTGTTATTGAAGTGTTATAGCTTTTAGTTTTCAAATTATTATATTTGTTTTGGGTAATCAATTCTCTGATTTATTATACATATTTCAGTGTTTATTTTTTTAGTCTATATATTCAGTGATTCAGATAATTTTAACAAAAACTCTTTTTAATATATATATAATTTTTTAATATGCTATTTATTATTTATATATTATTTATTATTTATATATTATTTTTATATATAAACTTTTATTTTAATTTCTTTGGTTCCTAAATTGTTATTTAACAAAGTTAAAAAAAAAAATTTAAAATATTGGAAAAAAGGTTAAAACAAAACATTTTTGGCATTTAAGGAACAACCTTAAGAAAGTCACCTTTACATTTAACGAAGTCTCTTTGTATGCTAAGATACATGCTGATGGCATCTGTATATATTATGAATTTGTGATAAATTGATTTATGCCACAATTTTTGATAAATTTGTTTTTACAGCTGTTTACATCTCATATTGAAAAATTTATATCGGAAATGGAATCTGTAAATTTTATCAATCTTTTCCTAGCTGATCTGATGTAAGTACTGATATGCACTTTTTAAATCTTTAAATTTTTAACACTTTTTTTAGCACTTTTAAAATCTTTTTGTCATTAAAGTTGTTAATGATCGTAGTATTTTTATTATATTAGTAGTAGTATTTTTATTTAATGTTGAATTAACTTAGAAATCTTAACATATAAGTTTATTCAAGTTGTGTTCACAGGGCTCAAATTAAGTGATCGCGAATTGAAATATCTGTGGTCATTAAATTCTTAGTTTTTTTAAAAACCGTAAACACTGTTTTAATGAAATGATCAGTTTCATTATTGCAAAAATTAATGAAAAAGCAAAACAATAAATTTACTACTGCAAAAATAATAACAGTCAAAATTTACATATTATTAGTTATTGTTTTTTTAAACAATAATTAATAATATGTAACTTAAAGGGACTACCAAGTCCCGAGACATGTTGTGTTCATATTAAAGAGAATGTTAAAAAAAAAGGTCTGAGCAAATTTTTTTTGATTAAAACTAATTAATAAATGTATACCAAGAAAAACAAATCTTGTTGTCTTAGTTGAAGCTCGTCTTCTCCGTTTTCTCTGGTATTTTGAGTATGTAAAATAAAATTTTTTATAATCCAACAAAATAACACGCTGTGTCTCATCGGTTACGCCCCAAACGGGGGAGGGGGGCAATAACTTTGGGTGTTCTTTTTTTAAAATTTAAAATTAGTTAAGAATAATTTTACCAAATTTTTTTTTTTTTTTTTCGTAATGCCTAACATTCAAAGTTTTTTTAAATAATGAGACCCTTATGACATGTTTTATAAGGAGGGAATCTCCGACCCTCTTTCCATTGCACTGGTAGCTATAATTTTTTATAATTTTTAATCAATTATTTAATCAATTAAGGTTTTATCAATGTTTAATGTTTTTATATGATATATAATACTTATAAAGATACTGATAAAAAGTTGATTTGTATTGTTTTGTTAATTTTTATTAGAAACTTTTATTTCTAAACTTTTCTTATGGTATTATCTATGGCCGTCACCACCGGTGTTGACGGCCCCCCAACTTTTTTTTAGGATAACTATATTTTTCTTGAAATGTAAGATTTTTTTTTTAAGTCGGGGAGTGAACCTCTTTGAAACTTTCCCCACTTTGAAGGCCGTGTTGACGGTCATGTTATCACTTTAACTGAAGTTTAACTTATTTAGCCGCGTGTCTGAATATATTTAATTAAATTTGTTTTGTGAAACTTGTAGGATATTTTTGATTTTAAAAATTGGAATGAATATTTTTGAAGATTGCAAGAAAATGTTATTATTGAGTTGATGATTTGGCAAATAGAATAAATACAAGTCAATCTTTTATTTGTTATTCACGATGTTGTTTTTTAATTTGAATGCAAATTCAACATAAATTCAAAAATACTCAATATAATGCATTTTTTAAACGTGCACTGTGACCGCATTCACTATGTGGACCATCTGTCTAAGAAAAGATATAAAAATTAAGAATATACTAATAAAGTATATAATTTGTAATTAACTTTCAAAATTTTGACAATTTAAAAAATATATATTATAAAAAATTTGTTTTTGTAAACAAATGATAATAGTTTAAAAGTTTTACGGCTTTACAGATGTGGCTCCGAGAATGAGCCATAATATTAAAGTAATAGTTCATTTGATAATATATTCTTAAAAAAATTTATGCTAAATATCTCAAAACGCAACAAATCGTAAATAATACAATTCCTAAAACATTTCAACAGAATACTCTAAAACTTTATTTTGCTTAGTCAGCGTGTTTTTTGAACCAATAAAATTAGTTTGTTCGCAAATTTGGCGGGTTTTTAGTGTTCGCGAATATTCTTTTTATTCTTCCGCAAGATGTTTTAAGTTAATTATGTTTCATGCATGTCTGTAAAATAAAAATTAATATATATTAATTTTTTAATTTTTAAGTTCCCGCCATAATATATATTGGATGTTATAATGGAAACATAAATAATGAAATAAGATCACCTCAATACCAAAAAATACATTTTTGAAAATCAGAAAAAATGCATTAATAATTTTTTTTAATATTGACAAAGTAAAATAATAAAAGTGCATTATTTTTTAGGTTAAAAATTATTTAATCTAATATTTTGAAAGAAAAAATTATAAGAAAAGAATCAAAATACACGTGGTCTAGACAATTATTTAAAAAAAGTTGTGCAAATAAAATACTATTTTGTTTTTTATTTTATTTTTGTTTTTAATTTTATTTTGTTTTACAAACACATTTTAGAACTTTAAAATACAATAAAAATGAATATGGTTTGGAAATTGTATGTAAAAAAAAACAATCGGTGTTTTAAACAAACAAACAAAAAATCTATGACGTCATGCACTAAAACTCCTATGAATTAAACGCGCTTGAATAAATTATCAAGTCTGTATAATGCGCCTGGAAAATCGCGTTTATTTTACATACTCAAAGTACTAGAGAAAACGGAGAAGACGAGCTTCGACTAAAACAACAAAATTTGTTTTTCTTGGTATACATTTATTAATTAGTTTTAATCAAAAAAAATTTGCTCAGACCTTTTTTTTAACATTCTCTTTAATATGAACACAACATGTCTCGGGACTTGGTAGTCCCTTTAAGGATTATAAATAAAAAAAAGTTGCAAGACAAAAATTATTATTAAAGGTCCGAAAAACTTTCGCGGTAATTTAAAAATCAACTAATTAAAAACTATGTTTAAGCTATTTGCGCATTGTATAAAACTTTGTAGAAAAAAAAACAACCAATAAAAAAGTATGCTAAAGCTACTTGCACATTATATAAAACATTAAAATAGATTTTTATTTAGGGGGAAAGTTTATGGAATTATTTATTTAAAAATTTAAATGTTTTGAATTAGAATTTAACTATTTAATAAGAAAAAAAATTATAAAGTATATTTTTTTTAAATATGTTATTAGAGTTTCTTTTTTTTTGTTTTAAAGTAACTATTAAAAAAATTTAATTAGTTTTTATATATTAACTCTTCCTCTTTTAATTTTATATTCGTATCAGCTAAAGTGTTACAAGCGAAAAATTTATAAGTAAATGTTGAATGAGATTTAAACAACTTATAAAAGTATTTTATATCTTAATTAACAATATCTTTTATTTAAAATATTCGATCACTAGTAAAGTCCCTTAGATTGTTGGGATGAGCGCTTATTTTTTTTTATATTTATGTCGTACTTTATCGTGCTTTATTTTTCTAGTTTTATCTGATGATTTATAAAATAAATTAAAATATTAAAGTTTAAATTATAATCTTTAATAATAGTAAAAATAATATGGTTTTACATTAAGATTTTATATCATAATCGGCGTAAATGTTTTTTATTAAATGATATCTATTGAATTTAGTGATAAAACAGTTTTACGATTTTTAAAAAGCTAAAATTTTAAAGACCGGCATTTCCAGAAATCACAATTCGCGATCACTTAATTCGAGCCCTGGTTCATATCTAAAGTACAAGCTGTATTCATATCGTAAATAAACCTTAATGTTTAGAGTTAATTAAACTTACCAAAACTAATTATTTATTGAGATATTAACAAAAAGCTTTTTTATTTTTAACATCATATTGTTTTCTGTGAAGTAAAGTTCCAGCTTGTTGATTTTTTCTTTTAAAAAAAATCTGGTCTGAATAAAGCGTGCAAATTTTGCATCAATAAAAATAAGTATTGCTGTTAAAGTTAAAGTACATTTTAATGGTCAGGGTTTTCCTTTTTTTTTTTTTTGTATCCCAAGAAACCATTTCTTTTGAAAACCTATTGAAACCAAAGACTTGCATTTGCTAAAAAGTATGTATATATGCCATCATTCTGCAAGAATGTTTTGTGGACTGACAAGTCAAAATTTAATCTTGTTAAGTCCGATGGAGCTTGAAAAGTATTAAGAAAAAAAGGTGAAGCATTCACACAGTTGTATTTGAGGAACGGTAAAATTTGGCGAAAGCAATGTTATGGTCTGGGGATTGATGGCTTGGAACAGAACAGGAAAGCTGAAGTTTAGTAATGGAATTATGGACTCTTAGGTTTATATCAATATTCTCAGTTTATTAATGGTATTATTGACTCTCAGGTTTATGTCAATATTATCAATTTATATTTCAACAAGACAAGATATGTCAAAGAAAGCAAAAAAAATTTTTATCCAAAAGCAGATTAAGTGTCCTGAATGCCGGCTCAAAGTCCAGATCTCAATTGAACACCTGTGGGCTATTCTGAATCTAAAAAGTGGGACATGTCTAAAAAGAAAAGAAGAGCTAAAGATCATGTTTCGAGAAGCTTGGACTCAAATTGATCCATATACGACAAAAAAATTAGTTGAATTAGTGCAAAATCAACTTGCCGAAGTCATAAAAGTTATAGGTGGTCCAACTAGATATTAAAATTTAAATGAAGTTAATTACTGGGAGAAATGTTTTATCTTTAAAACTTTGTTCGAATGTTTATTTAATGTTGAAAAATTGGGTAGTTTGATTTTATCATTAAGTTTTTAGCAATTTAAGTTAATTACTGTAATTGTTTTTTTAATATCAAAAATTTAAATTAATTTGATGTTAAAAATCTTAAAAATTTTTAACATCAAATTAATTTAAAAATCTTAACATATAAGTTTATTTAATAGCCTTTCATGAATTTGTTGATGTTTAATCTTGCATATTGTATGTTTGCATTCCAAATTTGACTTTCTTCACAATTAACTAAATTACCGAGTATACTTAAAACAGACTTATCAGTTTAAATCACATTTTTATTAATTTTGAAATACTTGTATTTTTAAATTTGTAAATTAAAATCTGCATATTATCATTTAATCCTTAAATTACTTGCTCTCAGTAATTTTTATTTTTATTATATTTTTTAAATATATAATGATAATTTATTGTGAATGGTCATAGTAGTTTGTCCTCAGTGATTGGTCATAGTAGTTTGTCCTCAGTGATTGGTCTTAGTAATTAAACCTCAGTGATTAGTCTTAGTAATTAAACCTCAGTGATTGGTCTTAGTAATTAAACCTCAGTGATTGGTCTTAGTAATTAAACCTCAGTGATTGGTCTTAGTAAAATTTCTTGGTGATTGTTTTTAGAGGGATTAGTTTAACTATCTAGCCTCTTTAATAAAATTGTAAACTTTATCATATTTACAAACATTCATTATTTTTATATGTAAACTAAAAAGTTTTGAAAAGTTAAACTTTTTTGTAATTACAATTCTGTGATTATTCTATAATGATATAGTTTAAATATATGTTATGTGGTTAGACAATAATATATAGAGATGATATAGTTTATGATGTGGTTCGACAATAATATATGGAGATGATATATTTTATGATGTAGTTAGACATTAATTTATAGAGATGGTATAGTTTATGATGTGGTTAGACAATAATATAAAGAGATGATATATTTTATGATGTGGTTAGACATTAATTTATAGAGATGGTATAGTTTATGATGTGGTTAGACAATAATATATGGAGATGATATATTTTATGATGTGGTTAGACAATAAGTGAAAAGTTTATTATCTTATTTAAATAAAATAAAAAAAAGGTTTATGTTTTTTTTATTGAATATTTTTAAAATTAAATATTTTTAAGCGTTTAATTACAAAAAAGTTATTTAAAGTTTAAAATTTTTGATTTTTTTCAAGTTAAATTTCAATTCTAGAGATAAGGTTTTTAATTAAAAAAAAAAAAAATGTTCAAGAAAAATAGTTGTTTTATATTTCATATACAATAATTCGAAGTGTAGAAAATTTATAAACTTAACAATAAGAATTTAGGAATTTGAGGTCAATAAATCCCAATATAAAGAAATAATTATTTGCGTACAGCGTTTGTCAATAGTAATTTTATATGTTGAAGAAATGTCTAGAGAAAGATTATAAAGACCAAATAAAATCTTACAAAAGTTTCATATTTTTTTCAACTTATGATGACATAAAAATTTTTTTTACAACCAGATGCCCTCCTTGACATTTGTTTTGCATTTTTTTGATAATTTTTACTCATAAAGTTTATGTATTTGTGTTTTATGTTTATATGTACATTCTTTTTGAATATAGGACTGAAGATGTATGTAAAACTATGTATTCACCATTCTATTATGGAATGAATAAACCGATGGAGTAAGTAGAAAAGCATGCTATCATAATCACAGATTTTATTTATTTTTATTTTTACTTAATTATTAAAGAAGTATGTAAGATAAATTATAATAATAAATAAATAATGAAATATAATTAAAAGAAAAATTTTTTTTAATTATATTTTTTTAATTTGAAATTTTTGTTTTTAGCTCACAAACTCCCTCAAATAAAGTGGATTTAGTTTGTAAACAGTTTCAAAAAATAATTGAGCAGAAGATAACTAAAAATAATAATGAGTATTCATTTAAATTTTTTATATTTTGATTTTCATTATTTTTAAAATTTTAGTTTCTTTTAGAAGAATTTTAATTTTTTATAAAAAACATTTTTTTTTTGTGTCAATGTTATTATGTGTCAATGTTATTTTGATAACAAGTGTTAGTATGGTCGTGGCAATTTTTTCCAAAAACCTGTGTACAAAAAATTAAAAAAGAAAAAATTAGTTGCATAATTTTTAGCAATTCTTTATTAGTCACAATGCCTTAAAAAATTGTATATGACTTCTTATGAAAATTTACTATGTGAATTGTTATAAAACTCTTGTTTGAATCTCTGATGTGGTGTCTGATTTTGAATCTGAACATTATGATGTAGTCTCTGATATCTATCTGTTGTGATGTAGTGATTGTGGTATTGTGTTAGCTGGTATAGTGTTGCAAGGTTACCAACTGTTAGTTACCAGGTTACCATTTGTTAGCTCAGTTACCAACTACAGCTATATAACATGTAATCCGATACAACCTGTCCCATATCTTGCTGTCTTGTAGAATTTGCTTTTCTAGGCAAAGACTTGTACAAAAAATTAACTCTGATTTAAAATACTCCTGCCTTGGGGCTCTTAGTTGAGTAAAGGATAGAGATGGTATCTTAATAAAAAGATTCATCTTTGGCAAATGTCAACTTTACATTATTTTATGCTTAGGTTGATGAATGGTGGACCAGCTTGACTTTACTTATGGGAATTTGTGTGTGCTTCCTCAATAGTGGTATGCTACTATTTCTGTTATCTCCTAATGAGGGTACAGTGTGGCTACCTGGTAGTAAGGTTTCCGTAACTCTGTAGTTGCTCTCAAAGAAGCTGATTTCATTAACAGCTGTAAAATATCAGAGAAATTAACAACGCCATGTTGGGCTTGAATGGCTACTCTTTCAGTGTTTTCGGTGTGCTTTGTGAAGCCCACATAAGGAACCCTAAGTTTTGACTTTAAGTTAATTAGCAAAACTTAGGCTAATTCTCTTTGATTTAAAACATAAAGTACCCTAAAAGTATTAAACATAAAAAACCTTTGCCACCACCTCACTGTTTTATCTTTTTGAAACAGCAAGTTGATTACATATATTTGTGATCTTCAAATTAACTTTTCATTAGTTGAATGTTCACCAGACTTTCTTACTCTTTTTGAGAATTTAAATTCAGTTGTTTAATCCACAGATCTCAGTGTCGATGGCTATTATCATATGATTAATAAAGACTCTAATTGTCGCATGATTAGCCTTGACATATCCTTATGCATCAGTTTGTCTATTTGTCATAAAATAAGTTTGAATCCTGTGACCATTCTTTGGTGTGTTTTGACTTTGCATCTCTTCACTTTTATTTTTGTTCTTTATTCATATTTATCACCTTTCTTTTTGTTCTTTATTGTTTATACTGTTTTCTCTTATTGTTCCATTTTTCTCTATCTCAAGACTGCACTCTTTTATATGTAATTTTTGATCAAATTAACCAAATCCTTTCTCTTTATCTCTCAACTTTTATTATTGGTTACTTTAATGTTCATTATACTAAATGGCTCAAACACCACTGACCTAAATAAAGCTCTTTCACACAGAACTTATAACAAACTGCATATTGTGTCGTATTTATACAACAGATGATTTAAAAAACAAGCTGTTTGTTTTTTAACATGTTTGTTATAAATAAAAATTAAATAATATTTTTGTTTTTTATTGCAAGACAAATAATTTCTCTTATATGGATGTATAAGTTTGTTTCATCTTATGATATTATTTCTTCTTATAATTATTATTGTCATGTTCTTTAAAATGTTAAATCTAAAATTGCGTATCGTTTTAAAATTGTGTATCATTTTAGAATTGGTTCTTAAAAATAATGAGTTTTAAATTGGTAACAAACTTAGTCAATCACTTACACAAAGAGTTAAATTTGTGACTTGTTTTCCTGACAATCCTAATCATTGACAAATAGCCTGACTCGCAAGGGAGTGCTGCTACAACGACTGACAAATAGCCTGACTCGCAAGGGAGTGCTGCTACATCGACTGAGGGTTTGGTTTGGGCAGGCAGTCTATCATTTAAAAAAAAAAAAATTAAGTTTTTAAACTTTTTCTGGTCTAGTTTATTAACGCGCTCTTTAAAACTACAGTTTATGGAAAACTCTTTTTGACTACCATGCAAGAGTATATGTATATATATATATATATATATATATATATATATATATATATATATATATATATATATATATATATATATATATATATATATATATATATATATATACACACACACGCGCACACACACATATACTTTTTTATTACACCGTTACTTTTTTTTCTCCACTTCGAGCACTGTATACATATATATATATATATATATATATATATATATATATATATATATATATATATATATATATATATATATATATATATATATATATATATAAGAGTGGGTCAAAAAAAATTTTTACAGGCTCTAAAGATTGCTAATAGTTATTAATATTGATACTATCAAATATGAGAATGATTGTGATAGATTTAAAGGGCGCAACTTTATTAGGAAAATTACCGGTACCCTAATATTTTGGAGAAAAAAAGTTTTTCAAAAGTAGGTCAACCTGGTACTCAAAAGAAGCGAAATTTTATAAAAAATTTGAAAATAATAATCGTTTTATAAAAATCATATTGCTGAATAAAATTGTTATTAAAAAACATGTGAAAATGCACCTTTTTCACTTTTAGTTAAAAAACTATAGTTATTATGCAATAAAATCTAAAATAATAATTTTTATATAAAAAAATTATTATTATTGAGATTTTTTTTATAAAATTTCGCTTTATTTGAGTACTTACATTACATAATTTTGAAAAACTTTTTTTTTGAATATTAATAGGGCCTGCTAATTTTTGTAATTATAGTTGCGGGTGGAAGACATTTTAATCCATAAAAGTAAATACTTTCCTAAATACATAAAAAAAAAACTTTCTAGCAATGTTTAGAGCCTGTAACAAGAAAAAAAATTTTTATGACCCACCCTAATATATATATATATATATATATATATATATATATTATATATATATATATATATATATATATATATATATATATATATATATATATATATATATATATATATATATATATATATATATATATATATATATATATATATATATATATATATATATATATATATATCGATTGATGTTAAATTTGTATTACAATAGTAATACAAAATTCTATTTCCGTTAAGAGTGCTCAATAATAAAGTAAACAACTTTCTAACTAGAGCGATATATATATATATTTATTTTTATTTACATATAGAAAAAACAACTTTTCATGGGACTAATAGTTTCATGCCTATACGGCAATCATCAGCCATGTACTATATCAAAAACAAACAAACCGTTAATAAAATTACAAAATACAGTAGAGCGACATCTGATGTCTCTATAGAGACAAAAAAAGAAAACGTCAAAGAAAATCTTATATAAATCAGCTAATCGCTAGTATCATAAAACGAAAGAAGGAATTTATTTTATGCCTACAATTTGAAACCAACTCGTTACTTTTGTTCAACAGGTTTCCCCCTGTATGCGTTAAAATAAAATACTTTTCATTAAAACAAAGATTGCAAATTTTGGACGAAGGATTATATGTTTGGCAGCGCATTATAATTTTCCATTTAGTAACAAACGAAAAGTTTTCTTCTTTAAGTTTCCAAATTTTTTTAGACAACTCCGTATCATTGCTGTACTTAATTAAATTAAAAGATTTTAAATGGTTTGCATATCTTAACTTGAAAGGGGTCTCGCTAATGCCAATATAAACTTTATCTGTGTAATCTGGTTTATTGGATAAAACAGTAGCTTGATACACAATGTTCTTACTTAGACACTGGTTGTTCATAACGCAGGTAGATTTATTGATGCAGTTGCAAGTTTTTGTTGTCGTTTTTACATGATTGTATAAAATATTTTGATTATGCGAATTAATGACTGATTTAATGTTCGGCATACACGAGTAGCTAATTTTAATGGTGTTTCTGTTAAAAATCTTGTGTAATAAATGACCAACAGGAAAGCTTGTATCAATTATTTTTAAAAAAAGATTACCAATTTTTGTTGCAACATTTTTACTATACGGGCGATTATACCAAATAATGTTTCGTTTGTGATTTTTGTTTTTAGTGGGAACTATATCTGACTGATATTTGAGCTTGGATAAGAAACCCGATTTTATTAATGCATCCTGATAAGGAGAAACAGCTTTCCGAAAATTTTTTTGTTTGAAGATGCAGTAGACAATCTTAGTTCAATTGTTCGCGGTAGACTTTTTAATATACACGGAGGATGGTTAGAGTTGGCGTGAATATAATTAAGAGTGTTATTGAGCTTTGAGTAAGGTTGGCAGGTACTGTTATTAAGATTTAGTGTTAAGTCGAGGTAATTGACAATTTTAACATTACAGCTGATAGATAAATGGAGACCATTGCTTTTAAAAATTTTAACAAAATGCTTCTTTATTTTTTCCATTTGTTGGCCACTACGATTTTTAAATATAGCTAGACCGTCATCCCGGTATAAACCTAATTCCTTCCCGTTGTAATATTGAGATGGTGCAAGATAAAAATTCCCACTAATTCGCATACTTCTGCACCATCATAAGCACCCATAGTTACATCAAATAATTCTCAAATAATGGCGATTCTTGGATTTTTTTAATCCAAGAATCGCCATTGGTAAAGATTAAAGATTTTCTCGCGTGCATAATAAATTTCCTATCTTCTTGATTTATAACTAGGTGCTGACCAGCAAACTCCATTGCGTCGCTAAGTAGTTTTACATTAATCCATGGGTAAAAGTCAGTTATATCGAAAATTAAAAATGTGTAGAGGTGTTTTTCATTAATACCTTGAAACCAATGTAAAACATCTTGCGAGCTTTGCCATTGGTTTAAGCAATGTAGCATTGATTTTTGAGATAACAGTTTTGGAAATTCATCCTACTTCGTTTTTTGCTGGGTTTAACAGACAATCGGTGGGGTTATTTAAAAAGTTTACTTTGTGGTCTTTGAGAGTGATGAAGCAATTAGAAGTACCATTTAACTCAATTTTGTTAAACACATCGTGGTTGGTTAACATTTCTTTACTTTCCTTATTTATTTTATGGTTTAGATTATGATCAGCTTTTTTATATGTAGATGTTATAGTGTTCATTAAAAGGTGGTTGTACTTATCTTTAGATACTCTGTACATATTAGTTGATTTGTCAGCTTGGATTAGTGCCATGGGCGATATGCAAAGAGATTTTATATCCTTTGATATTCTTTCTTGAAATGAGTTGCGGATTTTTCGAAGTTTTATATTTTTTACAAGATCTTTTAAATAGATGTTTTAAATAAATAAGGACTGGAATTAAACAATTGAATGGGTCAGGGTTATGACAACGGGGTGAACATAAAAGGGAAAAAATATTGGAGTTCAAAAGAGAATTTCGGACATAAATCCTTTATTTATATATATATATATATGTATATATATATATATATATATATATATATATATATATATATATATTTATAGTACTTTCTTATAGTAATTAATAATGATTATATTTATAGGTTGTTGTTGGCTTTACTGACAACTTATGCAAGACAAAATGATTTAGAGTCTGTTCTTCTTAAAATTAAAGACCTTAAAGGTTTTTTGTTTTGATTGTTGAGCTTTTATCATTTTTTTATTCTTTTAATCAGAAGTATTAAAAATATATTTCTATGGTATTTACTATTATGTCTAATTTATATGGTTACCGAAGTAAACAAAAACAAAAATATTGTTTTTATGTTTTGGTTTAAAAAATTTGTTAAAGTTTTAATAAAGTTATATTTTTTATATATTTTGTAATTAAATCTTTTTTTTTCTAATTTTTTAAATAACTTTTTAAACAGAAAATCCTCCAGCTGATGGTGTTACTTGCAACGCTGCTTTAGTTTACATACTATATTTGGTTGATATTAATTCTCTGTTTGATATCGCACTTGGTTTATATGATTTTGATCTTGTTATGTTGGTAGCAGAAAAATCTCAGAAGGTATTGTTGCTGTTATAAAATAGTTTTAAGAAAATGTTTGCAGTATGTTCTTGGTTGACAGTTTTGTTTTAGGTTTTATGTAAATAAAAATTTTGACAAAAATTTTTAATTAAATTGAAAAAAAAATTAAAGCTAAATACCTAATTTTATGTTTTTTTATAAGAATCATTTCTTATAAGAATCATTTTTACATTCTTCCTATCTGTTCTAAATTATCTCAAACTGAGTACTATTTGTGCTCTTACTGAGTACTGAGTACGATCTGTGCTACGAGTCAAGTTCTTTAACAAATTCAAAAATTACCAAGAACAAAAGTACCAAAAACTATAAATACAAAAAACCATCGTCATCACCAAGTTCTTTAAATCTATCGTTCGCTATTATTGGTGATCTTTGAAGTAACTTTTCTTCTGCTGAGTCTTATTTCTTGCAAAATTCACTAGACCTACTTTGTGTGACTAATCTTAGTTTGGCTGTCTCATCTTGTGATCTTAGTGTTGATGGTTATCTTCCTTTAATTTGTAGATTCCAATAGTCACATGCTTGGCCTTGGCATTTACATTCGTAAGAATTCACCCATTTATTTTTCGTAAAAATTCACCTATTCTTTTATGTGCTTTCATTTAGCATCACTTCACTTTATCACCTTTCTCTTTGTTCTATATCGCTCTCCTTCATCTTAATACTGCATTCTTTTGGATGTTATTTCTGAATAAATTGATCAAGCCATTTCTCTTTTTCCTTCAGCCAGTATTTTTATTGTTGTTGTAGTTGTCATCACACTGAATGGCTTGGCTCTAGTGTCAGTGACTGAGCAGGCGTTAAGGCCCACAACTTTTGTCTTTCTCAATCTCTAACACAAATAGTCAAGTTTCCAACTTGTTTGGTTTCAGACAATCAGAATCATTTACCTTCTCTACTCGATTCATGTCTTGTTTTTGATCCTAGTCAGTGCTCAATTTCTCCACATTCACACTTAGGTGCTTCTATTCACGGTTTGATCTCTATAACACTATTATCTCATTCTTATTCATTATCAGAATCCCTCTATTATAAGTATCAAAATTCACCTGGACCCTGGAAACTAGAGTTGGATAAGAGCAGAGTTTTTTTTATCAATGGAAGAAGTTCAGAATTTTCTTATTATCAATTTAAATTGAACTGATATTGGTTTATTTTGTAGTCATTGTTTGTTATTCTCTTTAAAACAAATTTTAGACTTTTTGCATATATACCTTTGTCAAAAATGCTTTATGAAATTAAACAGGTTATTATTTGCAGTTAAGTTAATGCCTTTTACAATTGCACCCAAAATATTAGGATTAGCTAAGTTCAGGTTTTCTTGTATTATATATGAATAAATTTTGATATTTTTCATGTTTTAACTATATGAAAATATAAATTTCATTTACAAAATCTTATAAATAGGTATTTTAAGATGTATAAATATTAAAACAAGTTTGTAACACTAATCTAGTCTCGCTGAGACCCAAGCAAGACTAGATTAGTGATTATTATAAATGACAGCATGTCTTCTCCATAAACTTTTTTAAGTTTATCAATATTTTGATAAACTTAAAAAAGTTTATGGAGAAGACATGCTGGTCTTCTTCATAAACTTTTAAAAACTTCATAAAATTGTCTATCAGGTAACATCTTTAAGATTATTGAATCCTTCTTTTCCAATTGTAGTATAAAAGTTGCCCTTGATAGACAGCACTCTTTTTCATATCTTGTAACTTCAGGGGTGCCTCAAGGTTCTATCCTTGATCCCATAATATTTTTAATTTACATTAATGACCTTCCAGATATTCTCACATCTAAGGTGGCATTGTTCGCTGATGATACTACCATTTATTCTTGTCTTGATAAGAAACCAACACTCTCTGATTGCTTGGATGGAGTATTTGAGCTCGAAAAGGATCTCATATCTGCTACAGCATAAGGCTTTCAGTGGCTGGTGAACTTAACTCAGATATAATTCTAATTTTTCAGCTAATTTTTCCCTTCTTTTTTTTATATAGATACTATAATGGGCACTTCTAAAGAGCTAGCATCTTTTGTATCATCTACTAAAATTCATTCTTGTGTTACTCATCATTCGATTAAGTTTCATCTTTTTACTGTGACTGTTCCTAAGTGCTCCAACAATTCTTATTTATTTAGCTTTTTTCCTCGAACATCAGTTCTTTGGAATTCACTGTCTTTATTTTGTTTTCTTGATTTATATAAATTGCAATCTTCTAAGTTGTCTGTCAATTGTTATCTCGCTTTATAAACTTCATCTTTTCTCTTCCAGTAACTTTAATAGTGGTTGCTTGCAGCCTTGTTAGAAGTAAAGATGTTAAAAAATAAACAAAAAACAACAAAAACAACTTGCTGCTTGTTATAAACAAGTAGTATGTTAAAATAAACAATTTTTTTTATCTTCATTAAGTTATAGGTAACATAAAATTCCAAAATGTTTCTACAAATAGTATCAACAATGCTACAAAACAATCAAAATACTTTTACCTACTATATGTAATAACTATATGTGCTTAGTAATGATAAAAAAATGTACTAAATACTTAATTTGGGCAGAGTATAAGATAGAAATATACATATATGCTCTCTGTAGAAATGGAAATAGAAGATAACCTAGGATAAGCTTTTAGGCTATACTATATATTTAAGATACACAATGAATGGTTGCAGTGTATAATTTTCAAAAAATCATTTATTTATATTTGATTTATAATATTTGATTTTAAATGTAGTAATAATTTTTATATTTATTTAAAACTTGTAGGATCCAAAAGAGTATATTCCTTTCTTAAATAACTTTAAGAAGATGGATGAATTTTATATGAAGTATTCAATCGACAAGCACCTAAAAAGATATCACAAAGCTTTGATTAGCTTATCTAAATGCGGTGAATTATTCATTATTTTTTTATAATTATTTTACAATAGTTTTTATTTTAATTGTATGGTTTTATAAACATTTTTATGAGTATTCAGCATCTTTATTATTTTACAATTTTATCATTTTTTTATTTTAATAGCTTTTATCTATTCTATATCTGATAATATGAATACGCTAATTTAATATTATTATTATTAGTCGAGTTATGTCATTTTTTAGGCTTATCTATTTTAAAGTAGTTTCTAGGCTTTTCTACGCGTTTTTTTTTTTTAATTTTATTTATTAACAACGCGTATTACGGGTTGCTTACTGCTAGTTTTTGTATAATATTATATTTGTTTAATGCCGCCACATTAGGCCCTTCCTAGTTTTTTTATATTTGTATTAGTATATTTTGGGTTCGAACTTCTCTCAGTTGCTTCACTAGTTTTATTATTACCACAGATAATGCTTCACTGTTGTTCCTTTCCATTCAAGTAATAGTTCTAATTTTCTCTTGGAGTGGTATAAGTATATATTATCTCGGAAAAAAAATTCTGATCATTGTTCTATCATCATTCTATAGCAGGCCTTGTGATGAAGTAGGAGCCATTGCTCCACGCACATCAAACATGCCAATAAATGGTCTTCTGGGTGTGACAAATAGGGCTTGCTAATTTCATTACGAGAGTAAAAAATCATGCTCTTCTGAAGAACTTGCAAGGGAGAAAATTATAAGATGATTTTATAGAAAATATATTTTCTAAAATATTTAGCTGAAGTCAAAAGATGTTTGAATAAACGTAGTTTACGTGTTGTTAAATAAGTAAATAATACCTAAATATTACCAACAAAGTTATATTCGCTATAAAGTAAGTCACACATAAGTTAAAATTAAAAATCTCAGTGCAAGAGCACCAATGATTTGTTTTTTCTATTTGAAAGTTACATTCAGCATGAATTTAACTTTAAAATTTTCATTTTTTTTTTAAATTCCTGTAAATCATATTATCCCTTAATCATACCGTGGTTAAATCGAACCATTTGCTAAAAAAAACCTCACTTAACTAGGACTTTTACTTTGAATTGCATAAAAGCCTATGTAATAAAATATCCAAACCTGCAACACTTCAATAAAAGTTCCAAACTTTGAATGATTAAAAATAATTTATCTAGAGTAATATTTTATTTACAATAATTTATTAAACTAAAACGTTAATTAATATCTTCGATTTTGTACTGGTTTGATTACATTTTATTTATTAATGATTATTACAGTCAAAATTCAAAAACTTCAAATAAAGTTCAAAACATTAGAATATTAAATACTTTTGTGTCAAATATAATTTAACAAACTAAATATTTTTACTGATATCTTTAAATTGGTCAAGCTTATAATAAAGTCTATTTATTAAAAAAGTTAAAGCAAAATAAAACTAAAAATTAGAACTAAAAATGAAAAAAACAACAGAAAAAAAAAACAGAAAAATAAAAAATATATAACAGAAAATATAACAGAAAAATAAAAAAAATAAAAAAACAGAAAAATAAAAATCTCTTTAGAGTTTCTTCAAAGAAATTCACTTGATAATAATTAAATTGTGGATTCAGTTTAAATTAGAAACCAGTTTTCTGTTTTGTACAGTCAATGAATGGAAAGTTATGAAGTCATTGCTGCTAACAGATAGATTGAAATGTTTAAAAATAAATAAAACTACCCAAAATTTCATTGTTTTTATATAATATCAAAGCCTCAGTAACATTGGTTCCGGTAAACTAATGTATTAACAAAAAAACCAAAGCTAATTCGTCTGAAAAAAATTCAAACAAAAAATTGTCCACCATATCTCTTGTACCCACTGGTACGCATTTGGGTGAGCCCCTCCGCATACCTGCATACATAGTTTATGGATGGGCCTATGGTAACCAATTTTCAACTCTGAATATGGCTCCTAAAGACTTGATGCTGAGCATGCATAATCGTGCTTGTTAATAACGTGTTTAAGTTTTAAGTGCGAAATATCTCGCTGGGCGATTTTATTCATCAGATGCACTGCTATAGTGTCATTGTTTTATATTTATTCTATCATATCATTGTTCTTATCAGTTAGGATAAGATAGTTAGGAAAAAATTCTGTGGAAAGACTTTGATATCTTCCCACAAAAAGACTTAATAAAAAATATCCAACATTGGATATTTTTTTAAATGTATTATCAAGAGAGTTATAAAAATTTTTGTTATTGTTAAAGATATGCACTGAGTAAGAGTCATACATTGAGTGACCATGTGTTTACAATTTTTTAAAAATCCAGGAGTTTAACACTACTTTAACTGTTTAATGAAATAAAGTATTTTAGATATTATTTAAAAGTAAATAATTATTATTTTCTTGAATTTAAATTTTTTTGTTAACAGGGTAGAGTTGTTTAATACATGGTCCGAATTATAATATACTTCTTTCCAATAAAGATTTTATTTCCAAATTAAGGAAATAATAAATTTTAATTTCGAAAGTGTTCAGTTGAGTTTCCTAAAGTCCTACCTTTTATAAAGTCATTCACCCGTTAAAATCTTCTTTAATATGTTTAGAAAATTGCTTTGATGAGTTAACAACATTTGTTAAAGAACATCGTCTTTACAAGCAAGCATTGCAGTTGTTTGAAACCGGTTCATTAAAGTATAAGGTATTTTTTTTATTTTATGTGTGTATTTGTGTGTGTGTGTGTGTGTGTGTGTGTGTGTGTGTGTGTGTGTGTGTGTGTGTGTGTGTGTGTGTGTGTGTGTGTGTGTGTGTGTGTGTGTGTGTGTGTGTGTGTGTGTGTGTGTATATATATATATATATATATATATATATATATATATATATATATATATAAGATAGTTGATGTATTTACCTAAGCTCTGCAACTCCCTGTTTTTGTATCATGTCATCCGTATGCGTCTAATGCTGCATTTATATATGTATATACATGTAGATTTATAAATAATGGTGACTTTTTTGTCACAAATGAAAGCAGTTATTGACACATATGACGTTAATTACTTGTCTTATAACTAATATGATTGAGTTTAAATTTTATTAAGTTATCAATTTTCCACTGATTCTCACTGATTCCAGTGATAGGGATTCTCAAGAAGAAGTTATTTTTATTTTGTAAATAAACATTCGAAAATAAGTTTTAAGTTTAATAAAATTACCAAATTACTTTATTGAGATATTAACAAAAAACATTTGTTATTTTGACATTATACTTCGGGTTGAGCAGTTTATATTAACTATGTGAATCTGTAATGTTTTTTCCATTGTAAAAAACATCTGGTTTGAATAATAAATGTACTTACACAGAGATTTTTAAACGATATACACAATTACACAATTAGATTAGATTTTCCTCTTTTATAAGAAAACGTTTGCATTACACATTAAGCATTTTAGTTTAACTGGACACTTTTGAGAAAATAAAAATTGTAATTATATGAAAAATACTGCTTTTTTACTCTAAATTTAAAAAAATTTATTCGCTCTATTTCTCACAAAATCCAAAAAAATTAAAATAGTATTTTCGGTTTTAAGATTTTATTAGCAGAACTTGTTTTTAACAAATGTCAAATATTTGTGAACAATAATTTAACTATCAAATAATTTTTAAATTTTCATGTCTTATATTTATAGCACTAATATTCTCACGTCTTATATTTATAGCACTAATATTTACATGTCTTATATTTATAGCACTAATATTTTCATTTCTTATATTTATAGCTCTAATATTTTCATGTCTTATATTTATAGCACTAATATTTTCATGTCTTATATTTATAGCACTAATGTTTTCATATCTTATATTTGTAGCACTATTATTTTCATGTCTTATATTTATAGCACTAATATTTTTATGTCTTAATATTAGTGCACTATATTATTATTATTATATTATTACTTTCATGCGCTAATATTAGTTTTTAAAATAAGATAAGAAGTGAAACTTGTTGATTGTTTTATTTTTATTTGGTTGTTTTATAAAAAGTTATGTATAAAGGTGTTCTTTTAATTGCATAAGTGGAAACCCAAACATAGCATTTATATCTTGAGTTTAAGTTATTTAAAAAAACTTTTTTGTATTGATGTCATTTATTAACTATAAAAGTGCACTAATCAGACCAGTATTTAAAAAAAAAAATTGAAGAGCCGGAATTTACTTGGAGAAAGCTTAATTCGGTCACCATTAAGTACTTGAGATTTTATACCAACTGTTAAATACTGCAGAGGAAAACTCTTGTTAAATGATGATTATGTGTTTGTGAAGTAAGTGAATTAGTAAAAGTTAATGGAATAATGAACACTACATACTCTGGAATGGAATAATGAACGCTGAAAACTAGACCTATATCAACATCTTTAAGGTCAAATATTTCAAGTCCATTTGAAAGTGAGGCAGATAATATCAGAAAAAGTTTTTTAAATGTCATGTTTTTTAAAATGTCATTTTGTGTCTCAAATGAAGCGAAATTATATAAAAGTTTCAAAAATATGAATCATTTTATAAATAAATATTTATTTTATAAAATATAATACTTTATAAATATGTAATTTCAGATTTTGAAAAAAAAAAAACAGAAAATGACATTTTTTAACAAAAAACAAAAACAGGGAAATCAACAAGGTTTTTCCAGTTGAAATTTTTTTCCTTAATATTTTTATAAAATGATGGTTATTTTTAAATTTTTTATATGATTTTTCTTCGTTTGAGACCTAACATGACATTCTTTGAAAAACTTTTTTTATAATATTAGGGACCTATTTAATGATCAAGGGTCTGTAGCAACCCCTAAAAATATTTTTTTATGCAAAATTTTTTTAAATTTAGTTTTATGGAAGTACTCTTCATTTCCTGTAACTTTAGTAACTAGGGGTTACTGTAACTAGGGGTTCCTCAAGTTTCTATTCAAGGCCCAATATTGTTTTTTTAATTTACATTAATGATCTCCCAGAAATTCTCACATTTAAGGTGACATTGTTCACTGATAATACTACCATTTATTCTTGCCTTGATAAAAAGCCAGCAGTTTCTGATTGCTTGGAAGGGCATTTGAGCTTGAAAAGGGTCTTACTTCTGCTACAACATGGAGTTCTCAGTGGCTGGTGGACTTGAACTCAGATAAAACTCTTCTTTTTTTTTCAACTAACTGTTATCACAATAATTTAAATTTTTCTATATTTATGAACAGTAATGTAATCGATAAGTCATCTACCCTTTATCTTCTAAGAATATCTCTTACTTCCAATCTTTCTTGGAAACCATATATCAAATCCACTGCAAAATTAGCATTATCTAAGGTTGCATCTTTTTATTGTAGCCTCCACTTTCTTACTCAAGATTCTATTCTTTATCTCTATAAATCTCTAATCCATCCTTGTATGGAATACTGTTGTCATATCTGGAACAGATCTTTGAATGATGTCCTTACTCTTTTAGACAAGTTGCAAAAACACATTGTAAACATAGTTGGACCTGCTCTTGCAGCCAACCTGCAACCATTGTCACACTGCTTCTTTTTCTCATTTCTCTAAATACTATAATGGGTGTTGCTCTAAATAGCTAGCGTCTCTTACTCATCATTCAATTAAGTCTCATCCCTTTACTGTGACTGTTCCTGAATGCTTCAAAAATTCTTATTGTCTAGTTTTTTTCATTGCTCTTCAGTTCTTTGAAATTCGCTTCCTTCATCATGTTTTCCTGAAACATATCATTTCTTATAAGTTGTCTGTTAATCATAATCTTGGTTTATAAACTTCATCTTTTCTCTTCTAGTAACTTCCAACTTTAATAATGGTTGCTTGCAGCCTTGTTAAAAGTTAAAATATTTAAAAAAAGAAATAATTATTTAGAACACATTTATGAGGTGCCAGCAGACATATTCAAAAAAATTGTTTTTAGAGCCACCCTAGTGTCTAGTCAACTTTCCTATTCCACGTAAAAATAAGGATGAATGTTAGGCTTGTGTTCAAGAGGTTTGATACTCAATTAACACCAGAGGAATGCCAAAATTTGTTTGCTAGTGTTAGTGAAAGAATTTAAAACATTGAAGCTTTGATGGCTGTTTATTCAATTCAAGGTTTGAGAAAAGAATTAAGTTGTCATCAAAACTTTTAAAAACTTCTTACATTTAAGAAGCAAAAATTACAAATATTTTAACGCTTTGTTAAATTAAAAAATTATTTTTACTTCTGATGTGAAAGTTGTTTCTTTAGTTAAATAGTTGTTAAACAAAAATGTCTGAAACCACAACAATTATTATTTTATTATTATTAGCCACAGCAATTATTGTTAACAAACAAGGCCACTGCTGTCTGTCTGATACCTTTTAAGTTTAAATAATTTTAAAAATGTTTTCTCTATTTTTTAGTTTCACTTTAAAATCTTGGTCTTATGAGTTTTTAATAAGTTTTAACATTAAAATTTTTAATGAAAATTTAATATTTGACAATTTTTATGTTAAAAAATTGATAAAAACTTAATTAATAAATATTTGTTATATACAAACCATTTTTCTCATAATAACTTCTATATGAAAAAATACCAGGGATAAGAAAAACAACTGCCAATGCAGAGGCCATCATTATAGGATGGTTCTAATTGGCTCGTATATGAAATAAAGCTGACAATGACAAAGTGTCGCACCAGCCCACAAAAGTAATCCAAATCGAATTTTTATTTATTTTAAGTTTTTTGCTAACAAAACTGTATTGCTTAATAATATATTTTGTATATTCTATAATATTCTGTTCTATTGTATTTATAGAAAATTAGTTTGGACTATGCCTCATACTTAGTACAACAAAAGTTATATGAAGATGCCGCAATCGGTTAGTTTCATTTTTTAATAAAGAATTTTATTAAAATAATTTTCAAGTTAAACTTCCTTCAATTTTTTTTCAGTTTACAGTAGATGTGGTTTCAGAAAGCAAGCATTAGAACAATACACTAAAACAAAAAATTGGAATATGGTTTTAACAGAAGCCAGGCTTCTTGAATACTCACCACAAAGTTTAATGACTCTTTATAAAAATTTGAGTGGTATGTAATGTTAATAATTTGAGTGGTATGTAATGTTAATAATTTGAGTGTTATGTAATGTTAATAATTTAGTCTTATGAACTTGTTTAATATTTTAACTTTCAATTTAAAATTGATTAGAGCGTTTGAAAAATGAGCACATGTACAAAGAAGCAGCAGATATATTGGAGCATTATGTTAAGGTAATTCACAACCATTTTTCTTAATTTGTATATTTCTTTTATGTATGTTAATGTTATTTTATTAATTAGTTTCAGTTATGAAATTTTCTTTTTTTTTTCTTCTCTTTTTGATGTTTACATTATAATTTGATTCTATGTAATAGTAAATTTACTTTATATTGTAATTGTACTTTCTAAATATATAATTATACTTTCTATATATGTAATTATATGTGCTTAATATATAAATTAATGCAGCATCCCAAAAAGGACTCTTAATTTAAAAATCACAAAATGATTATTCCTGGTATCTAGGAGTTCTAAAAATGTGGAGGCGTATGGACTTTTTGGGATTAAATTAAAACTTAAAGGTTCAAAGAACAATCAAATTTTAAACCTGTAGTCCTTATGTATAATGGTGGCAACAACTTCAGAACTCCAAACTAAAAAGTATAGGTTTCAAGTCATGAAATCACATTAATTTTATTCTTATTGCAGATCATGAGTCACTTGACACATTCTGCCTCTGGAAATATGAGACCAAGTGAAAATGGAGATTTAAGGCTGGCGTCTTTTTGAACTCTGCATCCCTTAAATTTATTGATGTCAAATTAACTTATATGTAATTTTAATTTCAGGACATTGAAGAAAGTGCAATGTGTTTGTTAAAAGGTGGTTTGTGGTTTCATGCAATTCACTTGGTATATCCTTTTACTATAGTACACTTTAGTAAAATGATTTTTCTATACTAAGTTTTTTTATAACTATGAAATGTTTTTTTGTAAGTTGTATATACAGGTCACTCTCTCAACCCCTCAACTGCACCAAAAAAAACAAATAAACAAGTTGACAGGGTGTTAGCCAGAAAAAAATTCATACAGCGTTTTTGTGAAATTGGGATTTTAGGTGCAGCCAAAAAAAATGGTCATTGCATTCTGACATTTAAACAAGTAGATAAATTTGACATTTTTTTAGATTTAAACAAGTAGATAAATTTGACAAATTTTTCTCAAATAAATCAAAATAAATCTTTTATTTTTGCTGGGTTATATTCATAGCAGGAATAAAAATTTCAAAATATTCAAAAAAAAAATTTTAACATAGGTATTCGTATTATTGTTCATCATGTTTTAATTTATAATTTTTATCATTAGATAAATTTAAAAGTTAAAAAACTTATTTAAATCGATTGCTTTTTAATGTAAATTAAATGAAAGTTTTCAAAATCATAAAAGAAACTCTGAAACATTAATGATAATGGGAAAACCTTTGTTAAAAAATAATTTCAAAACTAAAAAAACCATCTGTTCATAAATTATTTCATTTAAAGTTTACTAAAAAAATTCTCTGAAGTAATTTTTTTTACAGGTTTGATAAGGGTTTATCTGACAATGCATTTGTATACAGTTATGAAAAAAAATTATTGATTCGTAACTATAAAATTTATTAAGAAAAATTTTCTTAAACATTGTTTAGAAATTTTAACAGTAAAAAAAAAATCATAAAACAGAGCATTTAAAATTAAAAAAAAAAATTTAATTATATAATTAATAATGTAAAAAAATCTTAATATTTAAATTGATAAAAAGAATTGCTGATAGTGCCTATAAGTATATATAATTGTAACTACAAATACATGTATAAGTACCAACACATATGTTCAAGTATATACTATAGTATATCCAACACATACAGGATTAGATACATGTTTATGTAAGTGTAAACACACCCTACAAAACCAGAAATTTCCTTTAATATAATATGCACAAACATTTTTTAATCAATAATTTAATTTAATCAAATATTAATTTTCTTCTTTTATGTTTTATGCAAATATAGCATAAATAATATGTTTCATTGTAAGTTTTATTTTTGTTTTTTTTGTTATTGTTATTTTCAGTTTACTTTACCAGCTAATTTATATTAATTATTTGCATATTAATAAATATTATTATTATATTTATTAATATGCAAAGATATTGGTAACTTTCTTAACTTAAGATAAAATGTAAAAATGTAAATAAAAAGTTTTTGAACAATAAAAATAAATTTAAAAAAATAATTTATTGAAAAATCTTAACTAAAGATCAATTGACGTCAGTTAAAAAATAAAAAAAGTTTTTTTTCAACTTTTGAATGAATGATCTTGCTGGTTAATGACAAGTTTTTACTAATTAAAAAAATCAATCAACTTAATTTGCTTCCTTGTTGTGCGTAATAATTGCGTTTTTTACTTGGCTAGCACAACTTGTTATATCTGAGACTAATTTAATTACCATGATCATATGAACCATAGGGAATTCTAAACCAATTGGAAATACCGCGTTATGTAGTTAAAACAGAAATCTCTGAACAATCATAAATTAAACTATGAAAACAAAGCTTAACATATTTCTACAAACAATGTTTAAATAACTTTATGAACAGTGTCAAACAGCTCCACATCAAACACAATAGTAACTACTTCAATCTTACACACACACATACACACATATCTGAGTTTATATGTAAATATATTTGTAAGTAAGTTTAATACATTGTTACTTCATTTTGATAATGTATTGTAATAACTATATTATAATGATAATTATATATATTGTAAGTATTGATACTTAATTAATTTTTTAATATTAATACTTAATACCGGGAGGCTGAAAAAATGCGAATTGGAATATGTATGAACTGGCATAAGTTCGAAGCGTTGCAAAAACTGGCATTAGTGCGAACTGGCACATGTGCAAATTAGCATAAGTGCGCCAAAAAATTTTGCAAACTTTGGCCTAAGTGCAAAGCAGTTACAAAAACTGGCAGAAGTGCGAAATGGCAGAAGTGTGCCGAATAAACTTGCAAATATTGGCAGATGTGCAAATTAGTATTTTGCACTAATGTTAATTCGTATTTATGCCAGTTCACACTTATGCCAATGTTTGCAAATTTATTCACCGCACTTACGCTAGTTTGCATTTATGTCGATTTGCACTAATGCCAGTTTTTGTGACTGCTTCGCACTTATGCCAGTTAGCATTTATGCAATTCGCACTTATGTCAGTTTGCACTTATGAAATTTGAGCTTATTCAGTCGTCCCCTTAAATTCATTTGAATATTTATTGACCAAAAAAAATTTTAATTTTTAATTAGTCTTAAAATTTTTTTAATCTTTAGATGCATAAGTATGAACGCGAAGACTTGATAGAGACAAATTTAAAACCTAGTATACATGAATGTATGTTTTTATGCTCTAATGTCAAGTCTTCCCAGGAAAGGTGTGCGGTTTTTCGTCTTGTATGACCACACAAAAGTATTTTATTTTAGACAACTTGATCACGCTGTTTGTTTTATAATATTATTCATGGCGGAAAATGTTTTCAAAACAAAAAAAGCAAAACTAACAAAATAGGAAATAAAAAGAAATTTAAATAGAAAAAAATAAAAATAAATTAATAATTTAAGTAATTTATGTACTGTTTTTGTTTTTTTTTCTTTAGAGTGGTTCTTATATTCAGCAACAAAATAAGATAAGGTGAAGTAAAAAAAAAAAAGTTTTAAGTCTACAATAAAAAGAATGATTTTCCTTTATTTAAATATTTGCAATGTAAAATATATTTATATAACAACAAGAGTTGAATTAAGCGATCACAAAATGCAAAATCTGGAAAAATATCTGGTCTTCAAAATTTTAGTTTATACAAAAACATGTTCTTTGTTTTCAAGGGGCGAATCAACTTTAATTTGTTAGCGAAATAGTTATAAATAATAAAACAATAAACTTACAAATACAAAAGTAATAACACTCTAGTGACTAACTGCATTCTGAGTTCGCTTGTTAAATAAATAAAAAATAATACAAGAGAATACAAAAGTAATAACACTATAATAGTGTTATTACTTTTATAACGCACTTATAACTTTATTATATTCACATTTATATATTCGCTGACACTCACGCACATGTTCAGTCGGAATGCACATCGGATCGGAGCTCGCTGACTATGTGCTCGGATCTAAAATCTCACTTCATAGCACATCATTCCACACCAGCACGGGGCAGTAGCTCTTTTGGCTAAGAGTGATGGCTTGTGGCCTACGGTGACTAATGTGTGCATTATGTGATTTCAATTGATCATTATTAAATGATCAATTGAAATCCATTCTGTAGGTCTCACGTCTGGCTCTGATGTGCTAGCCCATAAGCGCAAGGGAGTGAGTGTGTTTAGCTTTCTATTCACCCGATTTGAAAGTGAACGAAGACATAACGAGACCATACTAGACGACCAAACGGTACATACTAATGCACTACACCATCACACCTGTAGACATGAACGGCCTCTAAAACCAGTTTATCAAATATTTGTTCTTTATTATATACTTTTGTTCATAATCTTATTTTACCCTATCCTTGCATATTTATTCAGATTTGTGTCATGTGTGAATGAGGCCGTATATTATTGAGAAGTATAACAGCGCGTAAATTTTACACAAAAGTACGTATTAGCGTATTTTTTATAACAAATGTATTCTTGGTTGGAATATACTGAACAATTTCATTAGATAAGTTTAGACTAATCACGATTTCGTTAGGCTATTTTGTTTCTATCTAATTTTCTTGATTTGATGTCGCTAAGTTAGTTTGTTGTGGTTTGCACTATACAGTCTTCACTAATGTTCCTTTGGTCGTTTTGTCAACAATATTGTTTTTTAACGTTACATTTTTTAGTGGTTATAAGCTATTAGTTTAAAATCGCATATATTGTCTTATCTTTTTATTTCCTCATTATTTTCTGCCTACTGATTTGATGTTCATATATTTTTTTATCTCTGGCTAATCGTTGTTTAATTACTTTGAGTCTGTTTTGTGTGATAGCTATTGTCTCTACTTACCAGGCAAGATTTATATGAAAACATACTATTTAGAGTTATATTTTTTTTTTATCATACTTTCGTTTAACTACTTTCGTACTAACCACAAAACATCTTAACTTAGTATCAATGCTTATGAGTGGTATTTACTTATTATATTTATAATACATATTTCAGCCATAAAAGAAACGGTAAGTTACTATTAATTATTAATTACTATTTTCTATTCGCCTTTTGTTATTTCTACACATTATAATTGTTTATTTACACATGCGCATATGTACATGTGTACAAGTTTGTTTCTTCTAATGTAAGGGTACCTTATATTTATATGTGTTTACATATCTATTTATGGTCACACCACGCGCATTCCTCACCACCCTCACGAGATCTCTAAGAATGTTGGAGCTGTTTTCAAAAACTGGGATAGGGATTGTTTTTTTGGCTTTTGTAGTGTAGTCCTATTATATTGCAATATTGACTAGCATGACGTAGAGTGCAGGCGGTGAGATCTGTTGCAAGGACACGCCCCTGACAAGTGGCGTGAGTGCAGGTCTCGGGCTCTCCGAAACGTCATTGGTGATCGCAGTGCATTCCTGAGGAGGGGGATCACCATTTATCCACTACATAATTCTAATTGGTTATTTTGGCACCAACATTTTTTTACCTCTTAAACCCATGTATTTTTACGCTTTGTGAGCTTTTTATTATGAATTTGTTACATTAACGACATTTATATATTTTTTATGTTACACAGGTGATTATCAGTTATCAATTTTTTATCTAGAGTTTAGAACATATATAGTACCACATTTATTAGACACTTGTGTGGTGCGATTATTTTAGTTATGAATACCATTATAAACCAGCGGATTTTTATTGACTTGTTTACTCATAGATCATTATTTCATCATTTGTTAAAAGATGACTGGGGTTTGAGTTTTTATTCCCCTTTTCCTGAGTTGCTAACTTTTACTCTTCCAACTAAATAGTCTTTGCATTAATTTATGTTTTTTATCTAAATGACATCATCTTCAATCTGTTTTTATTTTCACATCTCCAAGGTCTACGTAACTGGACGGCTCCGTTGGTCACTTTTTGCGATCATTGTGTCGCATAAGCAAAAAATACAAAAGTAATAACACTCTAGTGACTAACTGCATTCTAAAAGTAATAACACTATAATAGTGTGGTTACTTTTATAATGTACTATAAAATTAAGTTATAAGTGTATTATAAAAGTAATAACACTATAATAGTGTTATAACTTTTATAATACACTCATAACTTTTATAATTCATTCTTTGTTCAAATAAGATAAGTTCTCCCAAATTTTAATTGAAGTAGAAAAGCATCTAGAAAAATATAGTGGATATCCAAATAAAATTTAAAACTCTAGTAACTTATAAAAACCTAAGCGTAACTTTATCAAAACATAATGTATAAATAGTTTAGCATTATTAAAAACATTACTAATGATGCATAAAAACGCGCGTTAATTTTCAAATCAACCAATAAAAATTTTTATTAGTTGATTTTAAAATTAAACACGCCTTTATACTGACTATTTGTGACGTTTTTCATAATGCTCAACTTTTTATAAAGTTGCTCAAGTGATTGGTAAAAATTCCTCAAGCTTTTAATATTTGAATATCCGGGTTTTTTTTTATAGATGCTTTTCTACTTAATTATTGTTTGGAATTACTAATGTTGTTTGAAGGAAGAATTAATAAGTAATAAGTACTATATAAAAGTAATAACACGATTACAGTTTTATTACTTTTATAATAAAGTTAGTGAGGAGAGTATTATTATTTTTGTAGTCGTAAGTTTTTTGTTTGTTTTGTTTTTATATTTTTCTTGCTAACATTATAATAATTACGCTAAAATTATAATAAATACGCTAAAATTATAATAATTTGCTCCTTGAAAACAAAGTACACAGTTTTGCATAAATTAAAATTTTGAAGATCAGATATTTTTCCAGGGTTTGCAAATTGTGATCGCTAGACTCACCCCTTGATATATACTTGTTACATTAAAATTATACAAATATATTTTATAAACAGTTGACAATTTATATTTTTGCTTTCCCTTTTTAAAAAAAACAAAATATAGGAAAATCATTCTTTTTAATGTCTGAAACATTTTTTTTTTGCTTTGCCTTACTGAATTTTGTTGCTGAAAATAATAACCACTATGAAGAAACAAAAATAAAAACAGTTCACAAATTATTTAAATTATTGTTATTATTATTTTCTATTTAAGTTTTATTTTAAATTTCTATTTTGTTTTTAAAACTTTTGTCAGCAACGCAAATAAAAAAAACTTGCAAATGGCCATGACCAAGTTGTCTAAAAGACTCACGCGTGGTCATACAACGCATGCCTTTCCTGGGAAGCCTTGTAATGTTGTTTAATATTTTATGATTTTTGTTTCTATCATTATTAAATCAGGGTGTAAAACTGGTTAATTTAGTTTGTTATATTTTTACCAAAAAGTATTTTACTATATTTTTTGTTAGTTAAAACAAATTTGTGGCAAATTCAATGAATTGTTTTGTTCTTAAGTTATTGATTTATTTTATTTTTATTGGTTATAAATTGTAAGCATTTTTTATTTAAGGCCTGTGAATTTCGTTTTATTGAATAGGATTTTTTACTCAAGGCTTTGATTTTAAATTACTTTTGAAGAACTTTATAAAACTTTCTTTTATAATAGGAAAGTGGAAGGATTTTATTTTGTTTTTTTTTTATTATTTTTATATTAAAGGTTGTGAGATAACGGAATCAAAAATAAAAGATCTTGAAACAAGATTTATAAAACACACTAATCGTTTAAAAGTTGTGGTTGAAAAAAAAGAAAAGGATAAGTTAGAGATTTTACAAGGAGCTGAATTTGAAACAGAAAACTCAGATATATACTCAGATACCTCAAGTGTCACTGGTCAAACATCCTCAATAAAATCAAGAGGTTCTCAATCTTCATCTGGGTAAATTTTTCTTTTTTAGTATTTAATTTTAAATTTAAAATATTTAAATGATTTTCTATATGACACATATTTAAATCTTTACTAATATAGGTTACTCATTATAAATTTTTATTTATTTTTTTTTTTTTTTTTTTTTTTTTGCTGTTGTTGTTGTTACAGCCTGTTTTAACTTAGATTAAAGTAGACTTTAGTTGAAAAGTCTATCAAACTAATTTTTTTTTTTTTTTTTTTTTTTTGAGTAACATAATTTACTCCAAGTCTGCAAACAAGTTCTATTAAGTTGGAAGTTACTGGAAACAAAGAGCGAGGAAATGCATGACAGAAGGCTTGAAAGGTTGTATATTGTGTGAGTCAGGAAAACATAAAGATGAGAGAAGGTTCCAAAGGATAAAAATGTGGAGAAAAAAAACTAGACAAATAATAGTTTTATAGCATATAAGGACATATACATTAAAAGGATGAGACTTTGCTGAAGGACAAGTCAAACAAGAATAAGTTTTAGTTTAGGAACTATAGATGATAGTTCCTTTGAGCAGCTACCACGATAGTATTTGTAGAAATGAGAAAAATATGCAACCTTACATCAATGGGAAAAAGCTGAAGCTTACCAGAAAAAGCAGGTTCAATTATATTTACAAATTTAAACCTTGTCTAGAAGAGAAAGAGCATTGTTAGAAGAACCACCCCAAAAATTTCAACAGTATTTTATACAGGGGCGAATAAGAGATTTGTAGAGGAATCAGATGTAAATAAGAGGCCTTAGTGAGAGAAATTTAATGTCAATAGCATCTCATGTTGATTAATTTACTTAGAGGTAATAATAAAAACACAAGTTCAATGGTATACAATGATTACAAATTCAAACAGATATAAAGAATGTCAACAGTATTGCAATAGTTGTTTGCAGTTTTCTGAGTTTTTATGAATTTGAGTTGTAATTTACATGCACTTCAACTACTGAAAAAGAAGACTTTTTGTCAAGACAGGACTATAAAGTTGTGTCATCAGCAAATAGATTCACTGTAGATAAAAGATTGTCAGAAAGATCATTAATGTAAATTAGAAACAATACAAGGCCAAGGATAGAACTTTGAGGTACCTTAGAAGTTACTGGAAATGAAGAAGAGTGTTGGCTTGTGTCAAGGATGATTTTAATAAAGCTATTAGAAAGATATGATTTAATTATCTCAAAAACGTTCCCAGATACATCATAAAAAGCAAGCTTATGGAGAAGACCAGCATGCCAAACTTTATTAAAAGTTTTAGTGCAAGTGCAATAGCCCTTGCCTTCCCATTACCACCTAATGCAGTAAGCGACTGGGGTTAAAATTTAACCAGGGCTGGGGCCAGGTTAGATAAAATATTTTTTTATCAAAATTCATGTTGTATTTTGTATATATATGCATATATGAACAAATATATTATGATCAACATGATTATCATAGTTACCATCTTTATCATCATCATCATCATCATCATCATCATCATCATCATCATCATCATCATCATCATCATCATCAAGGTTTAGCCTTATTTATGCTGTTTCTCCAATATAAACAATATAGAGCCTTTTCTTTCCTTAACTAAAGCTTATTCATACAATATGTAAGGCACTCTATGATCACTCAGGAAAACTTGGATTCATTCAAGCACTTGTTAAAATTTTACTATAATTAAGGCTTGACTTAGAACCGACAAAGACACATTTTATCAAGTTTAAGTTGGTTTATATATATTAAGTAACTTATGTTAAGTTACTATAATTGAAGTAACTTATATAATATATATAAACCAACTTAAATTTGATAAAATGTGTATTTTTGTTGGTCCCAAGTCAATCCTCATTCTACTCCATGGTTCTCACTTTCTTGTGCCGCAGCTATACCTAATTGTAATTATTTCAAAAATCAATGTAAAAAGGTGTTGCATGATGCTAACCTCCATTATAATCATATAATATATGGTAAAATAAAATATACAAGTAAAAAAAGAAAAATTTTATTTACTTAAAAAGCAATAGCTTTTTAAGTAAATAAAAATTTCCTTTTTGAAATAAAACAAATATATCTAAATTTAAAGAAGTTTAATAAATTTAAAATAAATTTAAAAAAAGGAATAGTTATTTTAAATAATAAAGAGTAGGTCTGTTAAACAATAAGGAATAATTTTGTTAAGTAGCTAAGGCTTTAAAATCCTACTTGCTCAAAATATCTTTCTATACAGAAGGTGAATAGGCAGATAAAAAAAATGAGTCTAGACAAGGCATAGAAGTTAGTTGGTAAAAATCTCAACTTAAAATAAAATGTTCATCAAATTATGTCTACTGTAAAAAAACATATTTTTACTAACCAAATAAAGCTGGTGTCACAAACGATAATAATATTTTATCTTACTCTAGCATTGTTTCTTTATTATAACTGCTAATTTTTGAAGTTTTCATGTGTATGTAGTGTTCGAATGGCAAAATATGTACATGCTATTTTGTGATTAGAGATACTGTAGTTTCTGTGCACATATTTGCAATTATCCTAAATGAATTTTTTTTTTTTTCTTTATAGTTTGTAGCAGTTTCTTTAGAAAGTTTCCAAAAAAAAATTTTTATTTTTATACAGCCATTCAAGCAAAAGTCGCAAGAAAGTAAATCGAAAGAAATATAGTTTGAAAGAAGGTAGTGTTCATGAAGAATTTGCCTTGCGTGAAGCTCTAGCTGAAATCATTACTACAACTGATAAAATGAAAGGTATGGAATTTTATTTAAAATGTTTCAAAACATAAAACTTTTTCATAAGTGGTAATTTTATAATTTTGTCAAATTGTAAAAATACCACTCTGTTAGTAATTTTAAAAGTGAGTGGGAATATATACATCAGTCTAATTATTAACAGTTTTAACAAATTTTTTGCAATGACAATTTAGAAACTTTATTGTGAAAACAAACAAAAACTTTTAACAATTTCTAGATTTTTAGAATTTTAATAGAAATATTAAAATATTTCTTGGGCATCACTAATGTTTTTAAATTCTCGAATGGACCAAGTTTTTTAAAGTTGTGAAAATCTAAAAGCTAGTTTTTTAAAAAAGCATTTTTTGACATTTATTTTATGACATAGTTTCACGTGTGACCCTATACATAATTTCACGTGTGACCCTATACATAATTTCATGTGTGACCCTATACTATTGATCCAAATAAAGTTTAAAATTTAGACATTATAATAAAACAATAAAAATCAAACCCACATGAGTATTATGCTAGTATTTATGAATGAACTTAAAATCTCCATATTGTAATAGAGCGTTGTTGTTATGGAGTTACTGAGTTGTCATGGTAAAAAAGAGTTTTAGCATCAGAATTATTAAGGAGATTTGCTGCATTGATTGTTATATGTAAAATTAAATTATCCATATAAAATAAAGTATGTAAAACTTGTTTTATTCACACAGAGCACTGACTCTATTTCTAAATTCTCTGATGATGTGTTTGTTTTTTTGTTTTTGTTTTTTTCTAAACTCTCTGACGATGTGTTTATTTTTTGTTTATATTTAGAGGAAATTTCTGAGTTATTGAAAGTAATGTGTTTATATTATTTTGATGATAAAGCAAAAACAATACAACATGAGTTTGAAAGTCTAATAAATACTATTGAATTAAATATAAAAGAAATATGGACAGAAAACATGAAAAATTCAGATGACAATGTTTGCAAATTCGGTCCAAGTTCAACAGTCCATTCCATAATTGAATTGTCCATGCATCAAAATAATACAAAAGGTATTGTTTGGTTAACTAATTTTTATTTTTAAATTTTTACAACATATTATATATTATAAGTATAAATACTTTGATAATTATAAGTACTTTGTTGTAATAAAAATGTATTATTATAACAACTTACACAATAACTTCTTGAATCCATTTATTTTAGTTTTTATTAAATGTTTTATTCCGAAAAATTTCAATTAATTTTTTTTTTTGTTTTTTATTTTAATTTATTTTTTTTACTTTTTTTTTTTTTAAATAATAAGTACACCTTTATCACTACTAATTTAAAGTTTTTCTAAAGTATTTAAATGTATTTTGAAACTAACTCTTTGAACTGGCTTACACTCGGCTCACAAACTTGATTACATCCGGCTCACAAACTTGATTACACCCAGCTTACAAACTTGATGGCACCCGGCTCTTTCCTTTTCATTACATATAACTCTTTTGGTACTTTTTACATTTTATCTTTCGCTTCAATCTCTTTGATATAAATCCTTTCAACCTTGATACATTTTCAAAATAATTTTTGTTGAATTTTATTTGTTAATTTTTTCAGGTTTTGGAATATACTTAAAAGCTGCTGTCAGAGTTTTTTGTTATCGTTTAAATTTTGAAAAAAAAAATGAATGTTGTCACTTTCCTCCTGTTATAATTTTGTATAAGTTTAATTACAAATTTTGTTTTAAATTTTTGTCATTTATTCATCCAGTTAGCTTCAGGTTCTTCAAAAATTGGATCAATAGTTTGGTCAATTTTTTTCTAGATTTTTTGTTAAACTTGTATATAATAACCTAACATAGAAAAATAAAAAGTTGTCATTTGTCTAGAAATTGTTGTTTAAAAAATGAAAATATTGTTTTGTGTGGTTATAACTATTAAAGATAAAAAACAAGAATACAATAAACACTCACAATATTTTTATCATATTTTTATCATAGTTAATTAATACAGCCCAACAACTGTCTCTCTTATGTAGTTCACTCATCAATAATAAAATGTACTTGAATAAACAAACTGATAATAGAAACAATTCACTAGAAAATCAAAATATTTTCTGTTAATCTTAATCTATGATGTAATTACTTTTTTAGTTTTATAATTATTTTATAATTATTCATGATATTTATTTTATAATATCATATTCTTGTATTATTATTAAATTTCATCATCTTAATCATTGTTGTCACTATTTTTTCTATCATCGTTAATATAGTTAAAGCCTTCCTCATCAATTGCCTTTATTGTTTTGAATTGATTTTTCTATCAGTTCTTTTAAAGATTCTTCATTGTACTTTTTTCTTGAATACAAAGACTTGATCTGTTGCGCAATAACATTGGTAATGATCAAGATTTTTACCAACTTCTATGCCTTGTCTAGACTCATTTTTTTTATATCTGCCTATTCACCTTCTGTATAGCAAGATATTTTGAGCAAAAAAATCTAAATGTGGTTTTTACTGGTAGAGCCCAACCATCCTCTTAAAATAAAGATGTTCAAGAAATTTCTCACATAATTTTTGAGTCACATTATATAAAGAAAGTCTTTTGATGTTGCCAAATTTTGTTTTGGTTTTCTCTTGCTTTTAGCCTTTTCTTGTTTGATAAATGTTTGTTCTGCAAAATGCTGTAATGAATGATATGAGTTGACATTCTTGATATTAATTTGTAATACTTTTAAGTTATTAGACAATTTTCATAGTGCCATGCTGTATAAATGTGTTCTGTTGTAGTCAATTTGTTATCAATAAATCTGTTAATGATATTTTTTGCTGCATTCTCTCAACTGCTTTACCTTTGGATGGCTTACTGTAATTCATTTTTAGTAATAAAAGATTCTCAAGAATTTATGAAGTTTTTCAAATATATAATTAGTATGATATTGAACCAAAATTATCATATATCCTAAAAATCTTTTTTATTATAAATTTTCTTCAAAACATCGTTTGGTAAATAGATCCTTTTTATAAAAAACACATTAACATGCAATAAGCATGCAATAAGCTATATATATATATAAAAGAATGTGAAATATAAGTAAAAAAAAAAAAATTGGTGACATGAAAGTTGGTTTTATATTACCAATATTTTATATTGCTAATATATTTTGGTCAGGTTCAAGATTATCATGAACACCCTGCTATTGGTAAGATGTAATTCTGTACAACTTGCCTCATATCCTGCTGCCTTGTAGGATTTGCTTTTCTAGTTAAAGACTAGGAGAAGTAGTATCTGACTTGAAATATCCATCCTTGTCTTGGGCTTTCAATTAAGTAAAGGCTAGTGGCAGTGTCTCAATAAAAATTTAAACTCATTTTGGGCAGACCTTAACTGCAGACAGCTACTGTTGTGTTAGTAGTCTCCTGGGGAAAGAATTTAGAGGTAAACGGAAGACTATTCATTACCAACCTTGCACCCCTTCTACATCTATTAAGCTAGCATATAATTAAGCCTGCCTGTTACCTGGAATCATCTTTATTTTACTCATGGTTTGTAGTTTGTGCCTGCTTGGTAATGACTATGAAACTCTTTTTGTGATCACCTAAAATGGATGCAGCTCTAGCAAAGGCTGATTACTTATGGTGCCATACTCTATATATGATCAAGTTCTCTAGTAACCTAAAACAGGACTAAAGTCAGAGTAATTTTTCATTTGTTAAATAAATTCATCATGCTTACTTGCTCGTTGTGAGACTAGTTTAAATTTGGCTGTTTTTTTAACTTCAATGTTGATGGTTGTTATCTTTTTTATGAAACCAACCTAATCGTTAATTGTCTCATGTCAATAATTTTTTATCGATCTCATTTATATGTTATTATGGTTAAATCTTTGGGTTGAAAATTTTGTGCTGCCAACTAAAAATAGTTTAAGGTCGACATTTTATTTTTTCTATTTTTAAGGGCTGGTTGTCTTTATTAGTCACATGCTTGGCTTAGGCATATAATAATGTATCAATTCAACTATTTTTTGTGAAATCAGATATATATCTCAGGCCTTGCGATAAAGCATTGGGCGATGTGAATTTTATGTCGTCCAAGAGCGATTTTGCGTGTAGCTAGGGCTATTTACGTCAAGCAAAAAATTTTTGTTTGAGTATATTTAAAGATATTTTTGAGCGGAATTTTAATGAAGTAATTTTCGATTATTTTAACATTTAATAAAGTATTTTAAAAACCGCACGCAGTTGATATAAAAGTTTGAATTACAAAAAAATTAAATATGCTCATTATTTACAAGTAGAAAAAATTCAGATTAAAAAAAAAGTTCAAATCTTTTTAAACTAACATTTTAATAAAATTATTCAGCAATAGCAAAGTTGTCGATAAAATTGAACAAAAATACTTTCTTTTAGTTTTAGATTTGTAACTTAAATAATTATTTTACGGGGGTTTGTTAGGTTTTAAAATTATTCCATAGATTTAAAAATATTTATTAACTGTTAGACGTATTTAAAGTATTTAAGAGTAATTTCGAGTAAACATTTTAAAAATTGGTAAGCGCAAATAAAAAAAAATAAAAGGATTAATATTAAAATGTATCCTTGAGGTCGCGATCGCGTCACAAAACGAGTTACCATCTTTGTAGGGAGAAAACATTGAATGCGTTATTAGCGTGTTTTGTTTAATGCCTTAACCCGGCTTTAAAATTAAAACAATGAACAAAATGCGCTAATCACGCGTTTTGTTTAATGTTTTCCCCCTACAAAGATGGTAACTCGTTTTGTGACGCAATCGCGACCTCAAGGACTCTACTTGATTCAATAAAAAATTACAGCTATTAAAGTTTTTGTAAAAAGTAACTCGAAAAAAATTACTTAAATAATAACAATCGCTTTTTTGTTAAAAGTTACCGAAACTCAACGAAGGGTGCTCAAGAACAGCTGCTGAAAAATAGAACGTCAATAGTTTTTCGAATAATTTTTAATAATAATTTTTAAGAATAATTTTTCGCTGAAATATGTCTTTTATACCTATAAGATTTTTATTCTAACATTTTATTTTACCAAAAATAAAATTCCTTGTAAACATTAAAAATCTATTCAAAACGTTCGTTAAAGTTTTTTAGTAATGCGAGTGATTGTGCTTATCAACCGCTTTATGAAAATAAATAAAAATAAATAAATATTATTTAAAATCGCTAGTAAAAATATTAGCTATTGCACAGTTTTTAATCGTACAAAATTAAAATTTCCAGTTTATTACTTGCTGACTTTTTAAAAAGAAAAAATAAATATTTGAAAAACTTTAAATTACATATTTGAGAAAAAAAAAAATCAAATATTAGCATATTTTATAATCTTTTTTAAATGTTTAGTTATAATGTTTTTTATTCGTTTAGTATAGACAAAATGTGTCTATTTTTAAATAATAACATTTCTACATTAATGATTTTTGCAGTAATTAAGTAAATTGGAGTTTTGCAGAAATTAAGTAAATTGGTGCAGTTAATGTCGATAAATATGAAAAGCAAATAAAAAGAATTTAATGATGTCAAAAATTATGTGTTTAAAAACTTATGCGTTGCGCAGTTTTTATTCATCACAAGGCCTGATATCTACTGATCAATGTTTTATGTGCTTCTGCTAAGCATCTTTTTACTCTATCACCTTTCTCTTTGTTCTCATTTTTTTCAAGATTGCAATTTTTTCTATGGAATTTCTAATGTGATATAATGATGTGCTCTAATATTTTTGTTATTGCTTATTTTGTTTTGTTTTTGCTCTTGGCTGCTTAATTGAATGACTTAGCACCACTGAAGAACTAGACCTAGCACCACTGAAGATCTAGCGCCACTGAACCAACCATTAAAGATCAAAACTTTTGTCTTTTTCAATCTTTTACTGAAAACTGTATTAAAGTTGTCCTTGTTGTTGTGCCAACAAGGCTAACATTTCTATTCATTTATAGTAACTTGGGTTACCACAAGGTTTTAGGCTACCACAAGTTTCTGGGGTACTCACATATATTAAATATATTTCTGATAATCATAAATTTTTGATTTCTTAGAATAGGCAGTTGATATTGAACATGATTTTTTCTTCTGCATTTGCTTTGGGCCAGTGCTGTGAAGTCGGAGTTGCGGAGTTGAGACATTTTCAGTGGAGTCGGAGTTGATAGTTGAAATCGTGACTGACTATATATATACAATAGTAAAACTTCTCGTTATTACACGTACATGTGCAAAACATTCAATTAACCTTATGTTCATACTAAACCTCAAAGAATGTTTCATAAATTTGTCAAAAAAAAAATTTCTAGCTTATCCCGTAATATTTTTAAATAATTTAAAGAATTTTTCAAAAATTTTGCTTTGGAGTTGGAATCGGATGTAAATCATCAGTCAGTTCAATAGAGTCATTCTCTTCACTCATTACAACTTGAAACCCACCAGAAAAATCTTCATTATTATTGGTTTTGTTTGTGTCTTCATCAGCATTTCTACCCTCATCACTTTCACTGCTATTGTTGTAATTGCAGATTACTTTTTTTTTTTTTTTTTTTGCAGAAGTTGCAGAAGTTGTTTTTTTTGTACAAAATGTCTTGAACACCTAGTTAAATGCCATGCCTAATTCACAACTGTTGATTACAGTTACTTAAACGCCCCACTTTCTGCATTACAGAAGTTCCATCTGTAGTAATACATACAATGTCTACAACGTAGCTCAACAAAAACTGTCAAAAAGTTTTTAACTAAATCAATGCATTTTTCAGCAGGCAGTAAGTCAACAACTTTAGCTAATACAAGACTCCAAAATAAAAAGTGTTCAATCCAGAAAAAACTGAGGACAAAAGAATTGTGGTGTTGATTTTGTAAGAAATTGGTGAAGGTTGATTTCCGTTATCACGCAGAAAATGAACTTTATCAACTCAAACAGTGCTGAACGGTTTGAATACTTTTTAGAACATTTTATGTTTTTCTTGATATTAAGGTAATTCAATCTATCAGACATAAAATCTTGATTTTCAATTCTTAATTCAAATTGCATAAAGTTTTTTTAGTAAGCGTAACTATAATTGCTGTTAATTTTATAACTTTACACAGCACACCATTGGCAAGTTACACCATGAAAAACGATTAATAATCTATCATCTTGACATTTTTACAAACTTAAAAATATTCTCAACTGTAATGACTTTTCATATTTACGTTAGTGACTTTTCATATTTACGTTAGTAAATTTTTGATATTTATTTCATATTACGTTAGTAGACTTTTCATATTTTTTGTTAGTTTTATAATTATGTTACTCAAACATACATAAACATTAAAGTGATGTAAAGATAGTATTTTAAATTAGTGCTTTATTAATAGAAGGAAGGCAAAATTTTACTTTTAAATTAAACAAGTTTTGTTTTTAATTAAACATTTTTAACAATAGTTTTTTTAAAAAAAATTCAATTAAACAATTTATTATTTTCTCCATCCCAAACTCTTTAGTGAGCATGATATTATACTCTCATTACAAGATGAACAAGCCCGGTGGGAAATAAGCTAGCAATTAGTCAGCAAATATCTAGCTAGTCGATATGGATAAAAGGCGCGTTTAAGAAGTAATATAGGTAGTAACACGTGTTTTACACATTTTAAATTTCTTTTGTCACCTAGCTATCTTTATCCCACCAGGAGCGTTGTTTATTGCAATTGGAAGTTTTAAATATTTCATTTACTTTTGTATTTCACGTAAAGAGGGCAATCCCATCTGATATATCACAAGCTCTCTTCATATATTTTTAATATGGTATTGAGCCAATACCGGTATTTTGGTACTTGAAAAAGTCTGGTATTCCGGTATCGGTACTATCAGTATTGGAAGCACTATTCTCTACCACTATAAATCGTTTATTTGTCCTTGCATGGAATATTGTTGTCATACATAGACTGGTTCTTCTAATGATATCCTTTCTAGACAATTTTTAAATTGTATTGTAGATGCCAATTTTTTATACCATTGTTTTAATGTTACATTTGTCATTGTTATTCTCTTTTTTATGAGTTATGGTTGCTACTCATATTGAGCCAACCATAACTCTCTTGTGACTTGTCATTCAACAAAGTTACATCTTTTTACTCTATCTGTACTTCATGTTCTAACAAAAAAATATTCATGTTTTTATGACTCATACATTTTACAGTTTTTTCTTCTGTCAGCTGTTTGTTTTTTTATCTTCTTTAATAATATATTTTGTTTTTTGGTAACTCCTAATTTAGATAATTGTTGCTTGCAGCCTTGTTACAAGAAATTAGGTAAAAAAGTATAAATAAAACTAAATACCATTTTTAGAGAGCAATTCTCCTATATCAGTGCAGCCAACTATGCGTCCCAACATCCAATGGAAAGTTCACATGCTTCGAGTGTAGAAACATGCTTCAAATATAGAACACATCAAGATATCAATGCATGACTAACATGATAATAATTATAACATAATAGTAACTTAATAATGAATAACATAATTACTTAGATATTTTTTTATTTTTATTTAATAAATTTTAGTATTTTAATATATATATATATATATATATATATATATATATATATATATATATATATATATATATATATATATATATATGTGTGTGTGTGTGTGTGTGTGTGTGTGTGTGTATATATACACACACACCCAGGCATATCTATGCACACATGTATATGTATATATATATATATATATATATATATATATATATATATATATATATATATATATATATATATATATATATATATATATATATATATATACATATATATATATGTATATATATATATGCCTGATCTTATTCAGGAAATTTTTTGCTTTTAACAGCAAGAGGTGCATTATTAAATGTTGAAGAAATTTTGATATAGCACATATTATATGCATATGTGCTATATCAAAAGGTAAATATTGACAGATAGATAGATGATTGGGTCCTAACAAAATGTAATTGATTATTTAACTTTAAAGGGGTTATATGGGTTTTTAAAGGTGTTCTTAGATGGGTTTTTACATGGGTTCATAAATGGGTTTTTAAAGGGGTTACATGGGTACAATAAGGAATCATCTAAGTGTAATGGAGATTTATAAACAAATATAAAAGAATAGACATAAGGGTGCATAAATAAGTTGTTGCTTTTTGGTTAGTTTTGGTTAGTTATAGTTTGATAAATGTGGAAAATATAATAACATTTTTGTATATATATATATATCATGTTTGTATGTTTTTAGTATTCCTGGAATATATTTTCGCTATTGAAACTGTTAGATTCTTATTAAAAAAAAACCTTCACACAATATTAAATACTTATTAAATTATGTTTTAATAGAAAACAGTTAAAGTAATAAAAGTTTATGACAAAAAAAAAAGATGATGAACAAAAAAAAAGATGATGAACAAAAAAAAAAAAATAGTAATTATCAAAGCTAGCAATTAATTAAGAAAGTTACAAACTTAAAATAAACAAACTTGAACATTCTTAATAGCTTACAACGTTTTTGTGGCTTTATACAAAAATATTAAATCTTATTTAGAAAAGTTTATGTAAAATATAATCATGTATTATATAAATAAATAAATTTTTGTTTTTATAGAAATAAATAATCGTAGTTAAGATAATCAATTTTTACTGAAATTTAAATATGGCGGAATTAAGCAGTTATGAAATACAAAGAACTAAAAACATTGCTGAAAACAAGAAAATGCTGGAAAGTTTAGGCTTAACACACTCAGTAAATATTTTAAACTTTTTATTTATTTTAATTTGTATTGTATATTTTTTATTTGCATAGAGGTTTGTTTTTTTAATTTTTTTTTAAATCTGTTTCATTACTTTTTTAGTTTAATATTTTATTCAAATTTTTTTAGTTCCATACTTTGTTCACAGATTTTTAAAACAAAGAAAAAGTATTAATAAAATTATTAAACATATTTTAAGTTGTTTCAATATTAAAACTTTATTATATTTCAGTATTAAAAATTCAGTATTAAATATTGTTTTTTTTTATTAAAAAAATCAATAAACAAACAGAATATAGATGCATGTAAAGCTATTTTATATAATTGTATTTGTTAATTTTAAAGCATTTCATTTTATTTTTTAATATGCACACACACATATATATATATATATATATATATATATATATATATATATATATATATATATATATATATATATATATATATATATATATATATATATATATATATAATATGCATACATTTTATCATGCATACATATATATCTAACTTTTCCTACAAATTTTTTTACTTATTGCTCTTTGTTAAGTTTTTATTTATGTTTGATAATAACTGCGCTGCGCCACTTAAGCAGCTGTGGTGCAGTGGTTGCGCACTTGCCTTAGAAACAAAGGATCTGTGGTTCAAACTCCTCCTCTGGGCAAAAGGACTTTATCCAGAAATTAAAATCATAAGCTCATAAAAGTTAAACATGAAAACATTAAACCTATGTATGTAAAGTAGGGAAGAGTTTGGGCACTTTTTAGTGCACCTATGGATACACTTTTAGTTTTTGATTTGTAAAAAATATTTGAATAGGCCTTTTTTGTTATGCGATTGGTTTAAATTGTAGAATAAATTTATACCTACAAAATTAAATTTATTAATTACTGAATATAACTGATTAAACTTGTCAGACTATATAAAAAAAAAATAAAACTTTGTAATGAGGTCCCTCATCCATTGGGTACCTTGATACAAATTATGAACATCATTAAAAAAGTAAATAAAAAGTATAAAACTTAGTGAAAAGGCAGATTTTTAATTAAAAAACAATCAAATTATAATAATAATTAAATAATTATAATCCATATAATGCATCTAATTGTCCTAACCACATACCAGATACAGTCCAATCACATTTCAGAAATCCAGATAGTATATTGTTTTAAATGTCATTCTTAAGCACCAGTAAACAATGGCTTTGTATTGAAATTGGATCTCCTAGTATTATATTTACATAAATCTCTTAAAAATTGACTGTAAATATTAATAAAAATGATTTTTAAAATTGTTTATGATACAATGGAGTACTATTCTACAGTTTTAGTGTCTCTCATGAATGCTGTATCAAGTTACCCCTTGATAATAAAAAACAATCATTTTATTTTTGTATCAACTTGTTTTTTCAATTGTTTTGTTTAATCAAGTAAAGAGCTTTTTTATTGTAGTTTAAAAAACAATATTACTTACTGATTATGACACAATATGACAATATGGACACTTAGAATAACATATCTTAAAACTTTAAAAACTAATAAATTACTTTGTTATCAAAAAAACACAAAATTCAACCCCTCGCAAGCCTAAAGGTATCAAAAAGTGTTTTTTGTTGTTGTTGTTGTTTTGTTTAAACATAGCTCTAGTAGTAACAGTTTCCTCATAAAACTCTCAAGATACCTTCACAATTACAATGTTTCATGGTGACCAGTGTATTATGGTGCCCCACTGTCTTCTATGCAAATACATTAGTGGAGACAATTTTTAATTTTTTGATTTTCATTCTCACATATGTCAAAAATTATTTAGGCTTTTTTAGAATATTTATTTTTATAACATTTCTTGAGCTTATTTTAATGTCTGTTCTTATCTCAAAAAAAATCATTAATTGTTAGACAACTTACAATTTATTTTGTCTTTAATAAGACTCCCTTAAACTCGTTTTGAATCAAACTATAGCAACTGTAGTAGTTCTGTGGAACTGAAAAATTAAAATTATGTTTTTCAAAAGCCTTTTTTTATTTGAAATGTAGATTTTCAGGTACTATAATTTTCTTTTCGGTGTCTGGGTTTCAAAAACAAATCATTTTCAAATCAATGTGACTACTGGAGTGTATGGAAGAGATATTTATCCAGTTCTTTAGATATTCTAAAGATATTTTTCTATAAACTGTAGACCGGCCACTTTGAACTTATTTAAGATCAATCATTGATTATTCTAATAATAGTAGAACATTTGATTATTTATTAACTGTAGCCATAAGGACAATATAACCAGCAAAAAAATCTTTTACAATTTTCTCTTTTTGATTCTTTTACCTGATTTACTTATGTTTTACGCTTATACTGCATTGTAAAAATATTTTTTATGTCATAAGCTTCAATTTTTTTTATGTCGATTTATTGCTATTGTTATTTTTATCAGAAAAAAGTAGTTTAAAAGTAATTTTTTACTTTTAAACTACTTTTTTCTGATAAAAGATAAAAAAGATAGATAAAAAAAAGAGCTTGAAGGATACTTCAAGCTTTTTTATCTTTTTTCTTGTCTGATTTTCCAGAAATTCTTTTTTACTTTTCTAATCTTTTAGAATCTTTATTTTTGTTGCTTTATGATTTCCTTAATGAATTTTATTTGATGTTTTTTTAGATTAGAACAATTCATTTGCTTAAATGTTTATTGAAATATTTTACTAAAAAACGATCTTGTTACCAGTAATATTTGTACTCAGCTGTTTTTCTGAGTATTTATACGTGTTAAAGAAAAAAAAAAAAATTAAAAATGGTCACAAATAAAATAATTTGTTGGATTTCAGGCATTTTTAGAATAAGGTTTCTGTGTGTGTGTGTGTGTGTGTGTGTGTGTGTGTGTGTGTGTGTGTGTGTGTGTGTGTGTGTGTGTGTGTGTGGTGAGTGGTAATTATTAATATATGATTGTTGTTTAAGTTTAAGGTAATTCTTCAACCAATCAAGAAAGTTATAAAACCCAAAGCTGCTGTAAAAAGAACATTTACTGGTCGCGATTTAAATGAAAATATTCTGAAAATAGCTAATGAAGAAATTTCATCAAAGAAAAGGCGATCTTTGAGAATTAAAGGAGTTGTGAGTTTTGAAATTTTTTGTTTTGTTTTTGCTTGTTTTTGTTTTGTTTTTAATTTAAAAATATATAAATATAAATAGAATGTTATGTTGGTTGTTTTAGGATATTGTATATATTTAAATAGATATTTATAATCATGAATATTTATAATCATAATTAAATAAAAATAAATATTCATAATCATAGTTAGTGTAATTAATAAATATACAATGTCAAAACATGAAATACAACGGCTGTTTAGTATATAATTTAGTCATTTGTATGATTTTTTTTCTAGGAACCAGATGGAAGTATTTTGCCTGAAGAAGATGATGAAGATTATAAACCAAAAATAATAAAAACAATACGCCAAAGTTTATTTGGTCACATTGAAAGTAATATTTTTGCTTTATATTCCAAAATTATATTACAAATTAATTGAAATAGAAACTCAAATTAAATTGAGTTTTAATTCTATTCTATAGATGCAGGAATGGATGTCTTTTATCTGCTTCTAAATTTAAGTTTTTCTCTTTTAGATTTAAAAAACTTTAATATAAGTTTTATTGTTCAATTTTATTTATTTATTTGTAATTTTTTAAAGCAATTATATACAAATAGTAGGTATATATACACCTGTTCAAGATATTTGAGAATAATTGATTAATTGAGAAAATAAAAGTTGTAATTAAGAAATGTGTAATTGAGAAACATAACATAAATTTAACAACTCATAGTATATTATTAAGAATACATAAATTGTAATTGGCAGTGTAAGCTTATAAGTTGATTATATCAAATTAGCATTTTTATGCACCAGTAATAGTTATGAAATTAAAAGATTGTTATGTTATATACCAATAGACTATTTATTTCACCAAATTTGTTTGCATCCATTTCTGGAAATCCAAATCCAACTTGTCCCATTTGACATCATGACAAACAAACAAGTTGAAAGAAAACATAATATTTTCATCACCAAGTGATAGAAGAAGAGTTGTTAAATGTGCTTGAGTGACTCTCACTCAAATTTTAGATATCAAATGCAAGACAGCATACAGTTGAGTTTGCAGTGGAAATTAATATTTCATTGAAAATGGTGGTTTTAAACAAAAAATATTGACCTAAGATCAAATTAAAGAAACGTTTAAATGGATTGAAAGTGATCAATTGACATTGGTTGGCCATCAAAACAAACAATTTAATATAAGTGTCAGCACACCTACAACCAACTCAACATTAGCACTAAACAAATTAACACCAACAAGCTCCTCGATTACTACCAATTACCTTAAAGACAGATTTTTTTTCCATTAAAAAAGTGAATAAGTAGGCTTCTACAATAAATAGTAATGAAATAAAAAAAAGCCAATTATGTAAGGAATTTCAACAAACAACACAAATAGTCATCAGATAGTTTGGTTTGATGAAACAAGTTTTAACCTTTTTTGTAGTATATGTATGTATGTAGTAATAAAATACAATAAAAAGTAATGAAATAAAAAAAAGCCAATTATGTAAGGAATTTCAACAAACAACACAAATAGTCATCAGATAGTTTGGTTTGATGAAACAAGTTTTAACCTTTTTTGTAGTATATGTATGTATGTAGTAATAAATAAAATACAATAAATAGTAATGAAATAAAAAAAAGCCAATTATGTAAGGAATTTCAACAAACAACACAAATAGTCATCAGATAGTTTGGTTTGATGAAACAAGTTTTAACCTTTTTTGTAGTATATGTATGTATGTAGTAATAAATAAAATACAATAAATAGTAATGAAATAAAAAAAAGCCAATTATGTAAGGAATTTCAACAAACAACACAAATAGTCATCAGATAGTTTGGTTTGATGAAACAAGTTTTAACCTTTTTTGTAGTATATGTATGTATGTAGTAATAAATAAAATACAATAAATAGTAATGAAATAAAAAAAAGCCAATTATGTAAGGAATTTCAACAAACAACACAAATAGTCATCAGATAGTTTGGTTTGATGAAACAAGCTTTAACCTTTTTTGTAGTATATGTATGTATGTAGTAATAAATAAAATACAATAAATAGTAATGAAATAAAAAAAAGCCAATTATGTAAGGAATTTCAACAAACAACACAAATAGTCATCAGATAGTTTGGTTTGATGAAACAAGTTTTAACCTTTTTTGTAGTATATGTATGTATGTAGTAATAAATAAAATACAATAAATAGTAATGAAATAAAAAAAAGCCAATTATGTAAGGAATTTCAACAAACAACACAAATAGTCATCAGATAGTTTGGTTTGATGAAACAAGTTTTAACCTTTTTTGTAGTATATGTATGTATGTAGTAATAAATAAAATACAATAAATAGTAATGAAATAAAAAAAAGCCAATTATGTAAGGAATTTCAACAAACAACACAAATAGTCATCAGATAGTTTGGTTTGATGAAACAAGCTTTAACCTTTTTTGTAGTATATGTATGTATGTAGTAATAAATAAAATACAATAAATAGTAATGAAATAAAAAAAAGCCAATTATGTAAGGAATTTCAACAAACAACACAAATAGTCATCAGATAGTTTGGTTTGATGAAACAAGTTTTAACCTTTTTTGTAGTATATGTATGTATGTAGTAATAAATAAAATACAATAAATAGTAATGAAATAAAAAAAAGCCAATTATGTAAGGAATTTCAACAAACAACACAAATAGTCATCAGATAGTTTGGTTTGATGAAACAAGTTTTAACCTTTTTTGTAGTATATGTATGTATGTAGTAATAAATAAAATACAATAAATAGTAATGAAATAAAAAAAAGCCAATTATGTAAGGAATTTCTACAAACAACACAAATAGTCATCAGATAGTTTGGTTTGATGAAACAAGTTTTAACCTTTTTTGTAGTATATGTATGTATGTAGTAATAAATAAAATACAATAAATAGTAATGAAATAAAAAAAAGCCAATTATGTAAGGAATTTCAACAAACAACACAAATAGTCATCAGATAGTTTGGTTTGATGAAACAAGTTTTAACCTTTTTTGTAGTATATGTATGTATGTAGTAATAAATAAAATACAATAAATAGTAATGAAATAAAAAAAAGCCAATTATGTAAGGAATTTCAACAAACAACACAAATAGTCATCAGATAGTTTGGTTTGATGAAACAAGCTTTAACCTTTTTTGTAGTATATGTATGTATGTAGTAATAAATAAAATACAATAAATAGTAATGAAATAAAAAAAAGCCAATTATGTAAGGAATTTCAACAAACAACACAAATAGTCATCAGATAGTTTGGTTTGATGAAACAAGTTTTAACCTTTTTTGTAGTATATGTATGTATGTAGTAATAAATAAAATACAATAAATAGTAATGAAATAAAAAAAAGCCAATTATGTAAGGAATTTCAACAAACAACACAAATAGTCATCAGATAGTTTGGTTTGATGAAACAAGTTTTAACCTTTTTTGTAGTATATGTATGTATGTAGTAATAAATAAAATACAATAAATAGTAATGAAATAAAAAAAAGCCAATTATGTAAGGAATTTCTACAAACAACACAAATAGTCATCAGATAGTTTGGTTTGATGAAACAAGTTTTAACCTTTTTTGTAGTATATGTATGTATGTAGTAATAAATAAAATACAATAAATAGTAATGAAATAAAAAAAAGCCAATTATGTAAGGAATTTCAACAAACAACACAAATAGTCATCAGATAGTTTGGTTTGATGAAACAAGTTTTAACCTTTTTTGTAGTATATGTATGTATGTAGTAATAAATAAAATACAATAAATAGTAATGAAATAAAAAAAAGCCAATTATGTAAGGAATTTCAACAAACAACACAAATAGTCATCAGATAGTTTGGTTTGATGAAACAAGTTTTAACCTTTTTTGTAGTATATGTATGTATGTAGTAATAAATAAAATACAATAAATAGTAATGAAATAAAAAAAAGCCAATTATGTAAGGAATTTCAACAAACAACACAAATAGTCATCAGATAGTTTGGTTTGATGAAACAAGCTTTAACCTTTTTTGTAGTATATGTATGTATGTAGTAATAAATAAAATACAATAAATAGTAATGAAATAAAAAAAAGCCAATTATGTAAGGAATTTCAACAAACAACACAAATAGTCATCAGATAGTTTGGTTTGATGAAACAAGTTTTAACCTTTTTTGTAGTATATGTATGTATGTAGTAATAAATAAAATACAATAAATAGTAATGAAATAAAAAAAAGCCAATTATGTAAGGAATTTCAACAAACAACACAAATAGTCATCAGATAGTTTGGTTTGATGAAACAAGTTTTAACCTTTTTTGTAGTATATGTATGTATGTAGTAATAAATAAAATACAATAAATAGTAATGAAATAAAAAAAAGCCAATTATGTAAGGAATTTCAACAAACAACACAAATAGTCATCAGATAGTTTGGTTTGATGAAACAAGTTTTAACCTTTTTTGTAGTATATGTATGTATGTAGTAATAAATAAAATACAATAAATAGTAATGAAATAAAAAAAAGCCAATTATGTAAGGAATTTCAACAAACAACACAAATAGTCATCAGATAGTTTGGTTTGATGAAACAAGTTTTAACCTTTTTTGTAGTATATGTATGTATGTAGTAATAAATAAAATACAATAAATAGTAATGAAATAAAAAAAAGCCAATTATGTAAGGAATTTCAACAAACAACACAAATAGTCATCAGATAGTTTGGTTTGATGAAACAAGTTTTAACCTTTTTTGTAGTATATGTATGTATGTAGTAATAAATAAAATACAATAAATAGTAATGAAATAAAAAAAAGCCAATTATGTAAGGAATTTCAACAAACAACACAAATAGTCATCAGATAGTTTGGTTTGATGAAACAAGTTTTAACCTTTTTTGTAGTATATGTATGTATGTAGTAATAAATAAAATACAATAAATAGTAATGAAATAAAAAAAAGCCAATTATGTAAGGAATTTCAACAAACAACACAAATAGTCATCAGATAGTTTGGTTTGATGAAACAAGTTTTAACCTTTTTTGTAGTATATGTATGTATGTAGTAATAAATAAAATACAATAAATAGTAATGAAAAGAGCAATAATAAAAGCTTATTCAAACATTTATCACAAGTTCAAACATTTGATTGCAGCTTTATTTGCAACAAATGTCCTTATGGTAAAAACTTGCCAAGGAATCCAAAAAGGAAGTGAGACTTGTTTTAAGTTAAAAATCTTCTTATGTTAAAAAATCCTAACAAAGCAAATAGTAATTAGTAATAAAAAGTAACTTACAATTCCTAATATGGTTGATGCATTTAAAGCAGATTCTTGTGACTATTATTTATCAGTGGGTTTCATCCAATTATTGTTTAGAGGATTTGCATTCCATCTGTGTTTGGTGCTCAGATTGTGGAACAACGAATGTAATATTCAAAAAGAATTGTGTCTGGCACAATGTTTAGAGCACTTGCTTTAGAAACGAGAGTTCCATGGTTTGAAGCAAGCTCTGGATATATTTCGTGCCATTGGTAAGGAAGGAGGTGTGAACTTTCTAGTTTAATGCTCTTTCGCAGTGCTCTATGACAAGACCATTAGGTCATCTTATGTTACTTAATTGCAACTTTCATTTCTCAATTACATCTTATGTTTCTTATTTACAATTTTCATGTTCTCAATTACATCTTGAAAAGGTGCTGTGACTTAAAAATATTTTTAATGCCCATTCATTGTAAATATTATGAGCATGATAGCAATTATATTGATAGTAAATTTTATTGCAATTTTTTAGATATTCCAGTTGGTACACATTGGGAAACTCGTATGGAATGCAGTGCTGATGGTGTTCATAGGTTAAAAAAAAAAAAATTTTAATACTTTTATTTAAATTTTTTTATATTAAAATAAACAAAACATTAAAAATTGTATAAAACAAATAGTGTTTTGTAAAATTTAGACCAACTGTTGCAGGTATTCATGGTAATGAATCAGTAGGTTGTTACTCAATTGCTTTATCAGGTGGTTATGAAGATGACATAGATTTAGGAGATTCTTTTACTTATACTGGATCAGGTATTTTTCTAAACGAATCAATTTTTTTTTGCAAAATATTTAAAGATTTAATTATTTTGGTTTTATATTATTTGATTTTAAAGTTTATCTGCTCTGTCAAATTATTTTCAAACATGTTAGGTGAAGTTTTCTAGTTTATTTGCTAACCTGTATTTTATTTATTATAAATATTAAGCTGTATTTTAAGTAGTAATTAAGCTGAGATTTTTAATAGCTTTTTATTAGCTTGTGTTATGTTTACTATTAGTATTTACTGAAATTTTATAGAAATATAAAAAAAAAAATTTGACTTGTTTTGTAGTTGATTTCAGTTAAATCAAATTTGTTTAAAACAAAAAAAAATATTGGCAACAGAGAGAGGTTAGGGCAATCTCTAGGGTTTTTTAAAATCAAAAATTTCCACCATGCAGGTAAATAGTAATCAGTGAAGCACTTGTTTATAATATTTTAGAAAGCAATGAAGAGATTTCTGATAAACACTTTCGTAAGACTGTAACAGGTTGTCTGTGCAACAATAAGACTGTAATAGGTTGTCTGGGCAACAATAAGATTGAGACAGGAATGTTGTACACAAGTTGTCAAAGAGTTTAAATGGAAAATAACTTTAGCACCAGAATCAGGAGTGGTTTGGATGTTGATCAACATTTAAAAGAAGTGGTTATATAAACTATTACTATTATCAAAAAGAGTGTGGGCACTAGATTTATAAGATGAGTTAGAGTAAAAGTTGCAAATTGTTCTAGGATGATTATGTGATTGTTTTAGGATGATTATGTGATTAGGAAGAAGTAAAAAGATTAGGATCCATTTTTGAGTGATAAACTTTTTCTGGATGAAAAAAATCTAGAAGAATTAGCTTATCTAAGCAAAAAATCTATTCTTAGATAAACAAATTATCTAGAAGAATTTGCTTATCTAAGCAAAAAATCTATTCTTAGATAAACAAGTTATCTAGAAGAATTTGCTTATCTAAGCAAAAAATCTATTCTTAGATAAAAAATTAGAAATAGCAATAATGAATCTTAGTATCAGAGAATACTTTTTTTGCATTGATTTTTTTGCAATAGTAAATTAATATTTGTTCTCCAAAAAGTAAATATTTGTTCTCCAAAAAGTTGTTTTTTTAAAAATATGATTACAATTAGAAAGCTAAGCTAACAATTAGAGTTGCTAAGTTTCAAGACTAAGCAAGTTTATAAGTTTGAAACCGATGAGAAGAAATAAAAGCTTTTGTATCTTTGTGAATCTAGGAGATTATAAAGAAAGTACAATTTGTTAATAGAGAGGTAAAAGACATCGGCCCAAGGGTCATCAAAAAAAGAATCAGCTATTACTTTTAGTAAGAGTGTGATAATCTGATGTTGAAATTGTACCAGCAAAAGTTTTAGTGTGCTCATAGCATGATATTAACCACCTAAACATGAACAAGTAAAAGTAAAAAACAACTAATAGTAAAAAAAAGTAAAAAACAAGCTCAAGCTAAAGTCAGATGAATAAAATCAAGGACTGAAGCTTAGTGAGTTGAATATTTTGGATGGGGAGTTAAAAAAAAGGGTTTGGGTAAAAAGAAAACAAAAAATAATAGAAAAGTGATTGAGTGAAAAAAGCCCAAGTGAATACACACAATGGCTTTAACCTTCAACGAAGTGAATACACATAATACAGATGAAAAGTTACTTTGAATATTTGTAAAGGATTGACTTATGATGGTAATATTTTTTGTAAAGGATTGACAATATGATGGTAATATTTTTTTATTTTTTTTATTTTTTTATTTGAATAATATTGTCAGAAACCATTCATATATCTACTAATTAGAGAACTAAACTCCTAGATAGTACATGATACCCTAATCAATATTTTATGCAATGTTTATTTTTGCCGAAAAAGAAGCTCTTTCTTACAACTATCCAAAGTTGTAAGAAAGAGCTTCTTTTTCGGCCTCTATAATGCATACCAAGAGCACTATCAAGGATACCTTCCATGCACAACATGCGCTGTTAATACTCTTTATTTTACATCTGTTGATGATAGAAAGATGTTTGAGATAACAAGAGGGATCCAAAGATAAAAGATTCTGTATATAATGTAAAAATTGATATTGGGGTGGGAGCAATGCTTGGGGTTACTTAGTTATTTTATTTTTAGTAGAAATAGAAAGAAAATTTTTTTCATGAGGAAAAAATTAATTAGGTACTGTTCAGCATATTTATAATATTTTCTGGTTCACTACTGTTAAATCAATCCTAATGTCGTGTAAAACACAAACAAAAATCTTGTAGGGTAGTTATATATGGTTGTATACTGAAATATTGATATGAAAATGATATATGGAGATAATTATATGTGTACTGAAATATTGATATAAAATGATATATGGAGATAATTATTTTTGATATGGAGATAATTATTTTTAACATTAATGTTTGATTCAATAAAGTTTTATATTTGTGTTTACTTTATAAAAAAAAGGTAATATTTTCTGGAAAAACTTATTTAGCAGAATTTTTAAGTATTTTTTGTGACACTATAACCACTACCATAAAACACCATTTTTGTGGTGGTATTTTTTGAGACACTATAACCACTACCATAAAACACCACTTTTGTGGTAGTATTTTTTGAGACTCTATAACCACTACCATAAAACACCACTTTTGTGGTGGTATTTTTTGAGACACTATAACCACTACCATAAAACACCACTTTTGTGGTGGTATTTTTTGAGACACTATAACCACTACCATAAAACACCACTTTTGTGGTGGTATTTTTTGAGACATTATAACCACTTCCAATAAAGACCACTTTTGTGGTGGTATTTTTTGAGACACTATAACCACTACTATAAAACTTTGCGCATTGCATCTGAATAATTCTTAAAAGATTGCAGCATTTTTTGGTTGCAGCATTTTACAGTGCAATTTTATAAATTAAACTTTTGTATCTATTATGCAGACTATTGTTGATGATATTCAGTTTGATATTTTTCCTTTAAATGAAAATTTTCATCAACATATATTTAGATTAATGTTCTTTTTAAATAAATTTTCCTTTAATTAAATTTTCATCAACTGATTTAATTTGATTAATATTCTTTTTAAATAAATTTTTTGTGAATATTTTTGTGAATATTTTTTTGTTAATATTTTTTTGTTAATATTTTTAGGTGGAAGAGACTTAAAAGGAACAAAATCAAATCCAAAAGTATATTTTATTTTAACTAAATTTATTTTAGTTAAATTTTTCTATGTGTATATTTTTTATTATTTTAAATTATTTTTAAAAAGTTTTGGTAGTAATATTTATATTAAAGTTATTGGTCAAGTTTGCATGAAAAAATTTTGTAAAAATATAAAATTTATTTTTTATTACTTTTACTTTTAGATTTACAAAATTTAGATTTTATAAAGTACTTTCTTACTTTTTTACTAAAACCTTTTTGTATTTTTTAGAACTTGAGAACTGCTCCACTTCTAAAACCTTTTTGTATTTTTTAGAACTTGAGAACTGCTCCACAGTCTAAGGATCAAACATTGACTAAAAGTTTGTTTCAATTTTTTTCTGCTTTATGTTAAAAAATTTAAATGTTTTTATGTTGCTTGTTTTTTACATAATTTTTTGTTCAAAACTGAGAGATTTTTTTTTCTTTTTATCTATGGTAATTATGTTGAGCAAAATATTATAAATTTTTTTTTTTTGTGTATCTTTTAACTAAATTAATGATTAAGTACTATTTTTTTTCTTGAGCACTAAGTTTTTTAACTGCTTTTTTCATGAGAACTAAATAGTCAGTGTATTATGGTTTTTTCATTCCCAGCAGTATCACTTCACACTGTGTTACATGAGTTAGAGGTTCTGAGGCAAATGCTCTTGACACCTCCAGCAATACCACTTCATGACACCTCCAGTAATTCACTCTTGTGTTTTGAATATAGATAGGGTTAAGAGGCTTCATGATGTAACAACATAGAAAAACAAATTGAAAATGAATAAAAGTAATTTTTGACCTTTTTTTTTTCTTCATTTTGATTTCTTTCTTGAATTTCTTTGAAATTTTAGAACCATTTGACATTTTCAAAAACTAAAAAAAGTATTCAATTGCAAAGGAAAATATTTTTATTTTTTGTTTTATTTTTATTATACAAAACTTTTGTTTGTTTGTTTATTGTTATTTTTCATTTTGATTTTAATTTTTTAATTGTTTAATGTGTTTGTTTTGTGTTTTTTTGATAGTGAACCTTGCTTTATCATTGAACATTGATTCCAGGCAGCCTGTGCGAGTTATTCGAGGTTATAAATGTCCTAGTCAGTTTGCTCCAGAATATGGATATCGTTATGATGGTAGATTTTGTTATAGTTAGTGTTGTTACAAACATTTAGTAGCCTAAAAAATATGTAAAAATTTAAAAATTAATTTTATTAAAGTTTGAAAAAATTTTATTAAAAAGTTAAAAATGTAAAAATTAATTTTATTATGAAAAAGGATTACTGACTGTTAATTAAATTAAGTTTATAACCAATTTATATAGATAGATATGATGTTACACTATCAACTGTAACTAATTTACACCAGTATATGGTCAGTTCCACCAGGTCAGGGAGAGTGCAAATCCACTTAACTAGCATTGGTTACTATAATTGTATATTAATGATTTTATAACCAAATATCTTTTTTTGATATTACAAAGAACATGAGTAACACTCTCTATGCTAAAATGAAACCAATTCAAAAATCTTTGAAATAATAAAAAAAAAATTTAACTTTCTCCAGAAAAAAATTTGTAGACGCAATGCTGTTATGCAATGCTAGTTGCGCAGATTTGCAATCTCCCCGGTGATATACTAAACCGAGTGTTACTACTTCACAGTACTGAACCAATACTAATGTATATATCTGTACTACAATATAGAATTTCAAAACTACTGAATAGTGATCGACCGAAATTCTGTTTTGGTCTTGGTTTCAGTTGAAATTTCAATGTGAGCTGGTACCAAAATTTAGGTTTCGGTACTATTTGTATAAATTTGGTAAAAAGCAAAATTTTGGTTGAAAAACCTACCGAAAACCAAAAAATTTGTAAGATTTTAAACTTATACCTAATTTAGAAAATTAATTATTTTTTAGAATTTTCCCAAGATATTTCACTATTTTTAAATGAATTTTAGGTCCATTGTTTACAAATTACTTAACTTTTTTATTTACTAAATAGGGCGTTTCTTAAAAATATCAAAACCCCAAATAATCAAGCCATTTCAGTGCGCATAGTATTTTGACTGTAAAGTTTATTTAAAGAAAACAAGTTTGCTTTAAAATAGTTTAAATAAGTCTTTTTTTGTTCATATAAGAAAATGAACAAAATTAACAATAGAGGTTTCTCACCCCTCCAACAACATCAACTGAAGTGGAAAGGTTGTTTTCAACAGCTGGAGATATACTAAGCGGTATATCTCCAGCGGTATATCAGTGAAAGAAACAGACTATTAACAGATAACCTCAAAAAAATCTTGTTTTGCTGAGAAAATCTGCCAGTTGTTAACTTTCACTATAAACTTATATCGCCAACTTATGTATTAAATCTTAATTTGTGAAGCATGTGTAATTAATTCTAGCATAATACACGTATAAAAAATAACAAATGTAAAAGTGAATTTTTAAATAAAACTTTCTTTTAAATAAAACTAATGAAATTAATTTTGACTAGCCGAAATATCAGTATTGGTTTTGGTAAAATATTTGCCGGAATGTCGGTTTTGGTTTCAGCACCGAAATTAAAACCGACATTTCAGTTTTTTTTGGTTTCAGCTTTTTTTCTGTTTCGGTAGATCAATACTATTGAAACAAGGTTTTAATAATGAAATCAATTGTTACTTTACCCTGGTGATAAAACCAAACCTACTTCACTTGTGATAAAACCAAACCTACTTCACTTGAAATATAGAGATTTTTTATTTAGAAACGTTTAGTGATATATGGAGAGGCGATAAAAAATTTTATTTTCTTTACAGAGAATTTTATTAATATTAGGTTTATATACTGTGGAGAAAGCATGGTCATGTGTGGGTTTAAGTGGTTTTCTGGTTTGGAAGTTTGTACTAAAAAGAGTTAAAGATCAGGACCCTCCTCCTTGGATAAAATGTGATGTAAGAAAATAATTTAAAAATGCAATCTTTAAATAGTATATTTTTTACAAATTTTTTAATTTGTAATTTAAATTTTAGATTAATTGTGAAGAAGCTATAAAGTCTACTGAAGTTCAATTAAGTGAATCAAATGAAAAAGCTACTGAAGTTCAACTAAGTGAATCAAGTGAAGAAGCTAAAAAGTCTACTGAAGTTCAATTAAATAAATCAAATGAAAAAGCTACTGAAGTTCAACTAAGTGAATCCAGTGAAGGAGCTACTAAAGTTCAACTAAGTGAATCCAGTGAAGGAGCTATAAAGTCTGCTAAAGTTTAACTAAATGAGTAAAGTGAATTAAATTCAACTAAGTGAATCCTGTGAAAAGTGAATCAAGTAAAGTCTGTTAATAATGATAATAGATAGAGTTCGAAATAAAAAAGAAAATATTTAAATTTTGAAAAAGTAAACTATGAGCATGTAAAATGATTGAGTTAAAAAAACTTTTACTGTTTTAAAATAAAAAAATCATATTCACAGTTTAAAATATAAAATGTAGTTATTTTTTTTAAACTGTTTTTAATATATTGTGTATGTATATATTATATAAATATGTGTGTGTAATATTAGGTTCTATTTTTATTGTTTTTTTATTTTGTATATTGAGAGAGCATTTATTCAAAATCCTTGATTATTACAAATTTTGAATATAAATGTTTAAATTTTTTAAGTCTGTTTTTAATTTAAAAAAAATTTAAATGTATTTTATTAAAAATTTAAAATTGCAAATTTTATTATTTTTTTAACTTTCATTTTGTGGACTAGTAATGGTTGTATTACTAATATTTGCTACAAACTGAAACTAAAAATGTATAGAAAAAAACTCACAAAAAATCTTATAAAATTTCTTTTCAGGAGTGATTCAAGACACATTAACATGTATTTTTATTTTTAAACGATAACACCATTTTTTAGATTTTTTTGAATTTTAACATGTTTTACAAATTTATGCCTTAAATTGGCACGACATTTTTTAATTTGTTAATTTTGACTGGCAGAGTTTTGGAGTTGCTCAAAGGATCTTTTCCATGTGTATTTATTTTGCCAATATGACAAATAAGGCAATCACAGGTTGTAGTCAGCCTTGTCGATGACTTAAATGAAATCAAAGTTAAAAAACTGAGGCACAATCTTTGTTTGTCCTTTTAACAATTTTAAAGTTGATTTCTACAGTTATCACAAATTGTTAAATTTTTTTTGTCTTTTAAGTTAAATCTTTTTAGATTGTTGAGTCATTTCTTTGTCAGTTCTCTGTTGCTGAGTCATTTCTCTGTCAGTTCTCTGTTGTTGAGTCATTTCTCTGTCAGTTCTCTGTTGTTGAGTCATTTCGCTGTCAGTTCTCTGTTGTTAAGTCATTTCTCTGTCAGTTCTCTGTTGTTGAGTCATTTCTCTGTCAGTTCTCTGTTGTTGAGTCATTTCTCTGTCAGTTCTCTGTTGTTGAGTCATTTCTCTGTCAGTTCTCTGTTGTTGAGTCATTTCACTGTCAGTTCTCTGTTGTTAAGTCATTTCTCTGTCAGTTCTCTGTTTGTTTATTTCAATCAGATGATACAAACTGTTCTCCTTTATGTTGTGTTTTTTATGCTTTTTTGCTGCATTTTGGATTTTGACTTTAAATATTTAAAGCAATAAAGTAAAAATTTAAAAAAATATTTCAATAATAAATGTGTAATAATTACAATTTATTTAAAAACTGCCTGAAATTTACAGAAATTAAAAAAATTTTGTTGACACTTTTTACCTAAAAACTTTTATCATGTAAACACTTTTGTGTTCGCTCATTATCCTATTCAAAGGAATTTGTAAACTTGCATAAAATCAAGTCTAAAATGAAAAGAACTAAAATTCATTTTTATTTTTTTATTTTTTATTTAGGACAAAGTTTTGTTTATTATTTTGTGTAATAAAACTTATCAGAGGCAAAAAATACTAAAATTTGTTGAAAAATTGCAAAAAAATCTAATGAGAATTTTAGAAAGATTTTGAAATCATTTTGAATGGAACTAAAATTACTCCTCCAAAAACAGAGTGTTTCATTGATAATATTTTCAGGGTATTTTATGATATTACTTTCTAAATTTTAAAACTGAGACTCTTGCAATTATATCTCTTACAAATATTGGAAATGTTAAAAACATTGTTTCAAAATCATAAAGACCATTAAGTAAAATTGTTTACATTTTAGCTACCATTAAGTACTATTGGTTATCAACCAATAATTACCATTGGTTATAAACCAATAATTACAACCATTAAATACCATTAGTTATCAACCGTTAAGTACGATTGGTTATCAACCATCAAGTCCTATTGGTTATCAACCATCAAGTACCATTGGTTAAATTTTAACCACTATTAAATACTATTGGTTAATAATAAGTAACATTGGTCGTCAAAATACCGTTGAATGCATTTGAGTAAAATCATAGATTAAATTTTTAGTAATAAACTGCAGTTATCTTTGTAAATTTAAAACTTTCAAGCATATCCAGATCTAAGTGACACTATTTACATCTATTATATTTATAATTAACCTTTTTTTAATTATCTTTAAAAACAAAATTATTTGTTTGTTTTATTATCTTATTTATTTTTTATTTTATTATCTTTCTATTTTATTCATATTAATTCATGAAGAACTAATAAGTTATGGGAAAGAAGAAAAATGTTGACAACAGCATTACTTTACTTGTTCATTTGTAAGTAAAACTATTTTGCTTGTTGCCATGTTATTGTAAATATTGCTTCTATGTATTTACATTTATCTGCACCAGCTGCTTGAATTTTATATTATTGTAATGTTAGTAAGTGTTCTATACCACTTCTTAGAGACTTACTAACATTAGACACCACTTCTTAGAGATTGCGTTGTAGTGGTAAATGTTTCATTGATACTTTGAAAATATTGGTAACTTACTATTTAAATGTTTTATTAATCAAAAAATTATCATTAGAGAGTTAGAAGATGCAACACAGCTTACTCAATTTGAATACGAGTGTGCCATTTTATCAGCATTAGAATCTCTTCATGGTCAGGTATATTGTGGGTTATTTATAAATATAGTTCATAAGTATTTGTAATTTTAAGTTATTATTATTTATTTTTATTTTTTGAAGGAATTTTTTTAACCATAACTTATAATAACCAGAATTTATTAAATTTTCTTTTGTTCTGTAATTTCCTCTGATGTCATTATTTTATTACATAGACTAACTCTGTTGTGATTCTTTCGTTCTGTAATATCCTCTAGTACCATTTTTTTTGTTCTGTAGATTACCTCGATAATAAGGTGTAATAAATATAGTTGCTTTTAAAACTTTTTTATAGATTCATTCATTACTATAGATTGGTTCTGCAATTAATTTTGATATAGAAAGCTATGATCAAAGTTTTGCTAAATTGACTCTGAATAAAAGGTACACATAAATAAAAACAAAAATTTGTAATTTATTTTCATTTTTTAAAAAGTTTAATGCTTTTCAGATTTCATATTTAAATATGGAGTTATGGATGAGTTAATGATTGTTTTACAACTGGATGCCCTTTCTAGTGTTAACCTGTCTTTTTATATTGAGTATTTTTATTGTGATACTATGGTACTATGAAGTACCATACCCACAATTAAATTAATGGTTTTGTTTTAGATTTTTTCTACTCCTATTTAAGCTGTCTTTATGATATCTAATAACCCTGGCCGGTTCTTCAGTTATTGTTTCCTTTTTTTATTTGAGTATAATTAAATACTTATATTGAAATGATTAAAATAAGATTTGGTGCTAAATTCTTGCTTCGAATTATACAAATTATTATTATTCAATTTTTATTTGATATAGTTTGAGATTTTGAACTTTTTATAATATTAATAAAGTATTTTCTGGTGTATTATTACATCAGCTAACAGTTATTTACACTATCCCATATGAGACTTACCCCTATTCTGACGATCCATGGTGAGCTGGTAAAGTCTAAAGTCAGAGTTTCCTCATTCACAGATGTCTAATCGATTTTATCTCATTGATATACTAGACATATTATTATACATGTTTACCCCTCACCCTAGCAAGGTCTTATGCCTGTTAACTATTCGTTTGCAAATACATCCCGCTGCACACTGGCTTCTTGATATTCTTTTATGCAAATTTCTTTTACTTTTGTTTTTCACTTGTCCCGACAAGAAATTTAATGTGGACCATATATGGCATTTGCGTGCTAACCATATGCTTACCACTCTCCTTTATGGGATGGCGTTGACGCGTCCCATATGTGGCTATAATGTTTATCCCACTAAAACCACACTAAATAAGAACGAACGCCACGCTTCATTTGTGCGTGAAAGTTTTATGTGGCCCACGTGTGGAAAGCACATGTTAGCCATATATTTACCAGTCTCCTTTATGGGATGGCGTTGATGCGTCCTATATGTGGCTATAATGTTTATCCCACTAAAACCACACTAAATAAGATATTTTATGTATTTGCACTTATTCTTTTATATATATTTATTTTTATCGCTCAAACATACTCACAACAGTTATTAATTGAAAGTTATCAAATCGGTAAGCCACATGATATCATGGAATATTCACGAGTTTACAATGCATTGCGATAGAATTATTACAATTGGTTAAAATTCAAAATGAGGCAAGATCGTGAGTTTTATATGTCTGATAGCCACATCAAATTTAGCACGTATTTATTTAATAGTTATGTGAACCGCATTATGTGTTCCACAAGTGGGCCACACTTATCTTCATCAAATACGTCATTCATCAACTGTAATATATTTGTGCACTTTTAATCCACACGAAAGCACTATGACCACATGTGGGCCACATATACCTTTCTTGTCGGGGTCTTATACAATTCTTGTTACCATTTTTTTTTTGTTTTTTCTATTGAATTACTATATTTGTTGTTTTCTTTCACTGAACATTGCTATAACCATATCGCTCAAAATTTCTATAACCATATCGCTCAAAATTGCTATAACCAACTTTATTAACCAGAACTCCCCTTGTTATATTTATTGTATTTTTTTATTAAGTACATGTTTTTACATCTTTGTATTTTTTAGAATTGACCAAATATGTACCAACAGTAAAATGCATACCAGAAATATCCTTAGCTCTTTTACTTTTAGCACATGTGTTATGGCTACCTCAAGTGAGTATGAGATTTTTCATACTCACTTGAGGTAGCCATATTTTTATGACTTATTAAACCATTTAAATAAGAAAATCTTTTGTCGAAAGTTTTACTTACACTTCTTATGTTTATGCGTGTTGTCTTATTAGGTTGAATTCACAGTTTATGAGGAAGAGGGGGTGCAGGTATATGTGATTGTGTGTGACAGGGAAGGGGTTAAAAGTTAACAAATATTGGGTGACGCACTTTATGGGCGACCCCCTTAATTGCATTTTAAAACGATTTGTTTACTAAAAAGTAGTAACACAAAAAAAATTTCGAGTAAACAAACATTAAAAATGATATATTTTATGAAAGAGTCAAGTTATTTTTCGAATAATAGGTATTTTTTTAAACAAAAATAATTATTTTGAAATTTAACTTTTATCATTGCTTTAAACTTAATAAGTAGTTACTGGTGCAATGGCATATCATTGTGTCATAAAAAGTTGCTCAAATGGAAGTTATAGACTTATGAAATGGAATTATGAAATGTGCACAGAACATAAATGTAAAAATAAGAAATTGGATGTAATTGTGCATTCCCTTTTCAGTTATTTTTTTTTGTAACTATAAAAAAACTCCTCAATATGAAGTTTGAATCAGCTTGTTAACCGCCTAAAAGGCGCTCCTGGAACAACTGATTTTTCTTGTCCAAAGAAAGATGCGCGAATTTGCTTCAATCATTTTAAAGGTAAAAAGCCTACATTAAAAAATCCTTTTCTAACTGACAAAAAAAAGTTTCTCTTTTGTGCCTATTAGTACAATAAATACTACACACAGCCTTTACTTAAAAAAATATACACCAAACGTAAACTTCACTATACACTGTAATACTAAATTTTGTTAATCAAAATCGAGACACTTTCTGTTAAACAGTCATGTTCTAGCTCCTCATTACTTAGTGTCAACTTTAGTCCAAAAAAACATTGAATTTATGATTGAGCCAGTACCAGTAGTGGTAGATGAAAATGAAATTATATTCCACTTTCTCATCTTAATAAGTTCTCTCAAGCTAAAAACTTATAAACAACTAACAAAAAGTGTAACTTTTACACAAACATTCTTTCCATGAATGTTTTTAACATTCTCCATGACCTTATAGAACCAATTGTACATCATTGATTTAATTTTAAAACTGAAATAAGATGGTCTCCTAAAAATCCCAAATAAAAAATCACCAAAAAAACGTAGTAGATACAAAAAATTATTTTCACCAGATGAATTTTTACTTGTTTTGTTTAAATTACGTCTTGGATCGTAAAGCAATAAAATAGTTAATGTTTCTCTTGGTTCGAAAATGTTTAAATCTTAGATAAAGGGTAACAATAAAAGTTACAATATTTTAAATCATTTGTTTACTTTCCAGATGAAGAAAAGGTTTGTTTGAACCGCCCTGATTGTTGTAATGATAATGCAAGTCTGTTAGGAATATTTGACTGCTCTGAAATTTTTATAGAAACACTAAAAGATTTAGAACTGCAACTTGGTCTGAATACAAGCACCACAATACAATGTTTCTTGTATCCTCCACAATACAATGAAGTTTCTTGTTACCTCTAGTTCTTTCATAAATTTTGTTTCAGAGGCATATACTGGAAGAATGTCAGATAAGGCAATAACATTGGATTGTGACTAATAATAAATACAAATATCATGCCTGGATAAGATTTTATTACGTACGCGGAATGACAGAATTTTAGGTTGTTTATTTATTTAAGGAGTTAAGAAGTTATAGGGAGTTTTATGTAGTATTTAGGATTTCCGGATTTTTAAAATTTCAAGATTACTTTATGCTATACTTATTTTAGTCTCTTTCAAGTAAAATTGGAGAGTGGAACGGAAATCAAATACTACTGAGCCGCTCCGTATTCATCAATTATGGTTGATAAAGTTTAATATTGCTAAAAGTCTAATATTGCTAGTGAGTGTGCTGCTTATAGGAATTTCTCCACCTGGCAAACAAGGAACTTCTCAAATGATATCAGGAGAAGTAATAAAAACAAGTACTATTGCTAAACTTAGAATTCTCATTAAACAGATACTTAGAAGAATAAAAGCTCTTCGAATAATTGGACAATAATTTATTTTATTACTTCAATATCACTTCTTGATAGTCTTTCGATTTTTAAATGCTTTGTCATAAAATAATACTATTTTATGATAAAACATTTAATCGTTGCTTCAAAGTAAATGTGTGTGTATACAAATATATATATATATATATATATATATATATATATATATATATATATATATATATATATATATATATATATATATATATATATATATATATATATATATACAGGACAAAATATATACGGACAAAACAAGTGCAATCAAATAATGATAATTTAGTTTCTTTATATAAAAGTACGACATTTTTTCAATTTAGAGAAATAACTATGTAACTGTTTAGAGACAACGTTCTTCAAGTTTTAATCATCACAAAGTTCATTATTTGTACACGAAAATTAATAAATTAATCAAAAGTATTAAGAAAAGTTGATTTCCTTCTGGACAAAACAAGTGCAACTCCACAATATGTTGACCAAGCTGTATTTCGCTACCAATATTTCGTGGCGAATCTTTTGTTGTTGATCACAGCCTTGCATCCTCGAGGCATAGATTCGATCAGGTGATCAATGAAACTTTGTGGAATCGCTGCCCAGGCCTTTTGGATTTGTTCAAACAGTTGATCCTTATTACGAACACCTTCACGATGAATTCTGCGGTTGACTCCCACAGGTTCTTGATAGGGTTGAGATCCGGAGATTGAGGCGGCCAATCCATCACCGATAGGTGGTTGTCTTGAAACCACTGCTTGACTACTTTTGCAGTGTGTTTCGGATCGTTCTCTTGGTGAAAAACCCATTTTATTGGCATATTCTATTCAGCATGAGGTAACATAACATCTTTCAGGAAATTTTTATACATGAAACTGTCCATTATTCTATCGATTCGATGTATTGGACCTAGACCGTTAGTAGAAAAACACCCTCAGACCATTACGTTGCCTCCACCATGCTTTACGGTCTTATGGCAGTAACGTAAATCGAGGCGTTTTCCGGCCGGTCGACGTACACGGCAAATGTTATCGCTCCCAATGATGTTGAACTTCAATTCATCACTGAACAGGACAGTTCGCCATCTCTGCACATTCCAGTCAATATGAGATGAGCAAACAGGAGTCTTTTTTTCTGGTTCTTTCGTGAAATCAGCGGTTTCT